ATCAGACATAAAAAGAAATAAATTTCTCTTCTAAATTTTTGTAAACACCCCATATTTAATGGCCACCTCTTCCTTTTGATCTAAATTCTTTGATTTTCTCTTTGTGTCGCGTCGTAAAAGATCTGTTTGTGCTGCAAAGAATAAAAACTGTTTTTTTTTGAGAACAACATTCAATTTCGAGTGAGTAAAAAAATGTTAAATTCCTGTGAGAGTTCCCGACACTGATAAAGCAGCACCACGCCTATCTAATTACTCCTCCCTAAATATTAAATTTTTCCAAATTAAATGCTTTTACCGCCCCGTAAGCGTCTTTATGCTGTAACAAACAAGCAGCATCCTAGTCTTATCCGACTATCACAGTTTGTGTTTAATGAGAGCTAGCAAAGAGCTGTCATCATCCGAACAAGCGCATCGCTCGTGTTTAATCATTTTTCAGGAAACATCTTCGATCGTCCGGTGAAACCCTGGCAAAGTTAGCAAAGGCCTTGGCTGGAATAACAGAGGCTCACCACGTCGATGAGTTGTGAAAGTTTGAGTTTGATACAAACTCGCAAGACGTCAGAGGTGTTGACCACAGGCCGCACTAACTTGTTGTAGTTGGAAAGCAGGTCATCGTAGAGGCGTTTCGCATCAGGATTTCCAGCCACAGCACCGTGCACTACCAAGGCCGACAGCAGCCAGGCTCTCAGCGTCTCGGCGGCAGAAGGAGGCATCCCGACGCGACACCGCGGCACTCTGGAGCCACACTGCACGCTCGATTCGGAACCACGATGCCAGATCGGCACCCCGCCCGACCGTTCGCGAATAAGGCCATTCGGATACCAACTGGATTAAGATGCTGAATTATCTTTCTAATTGCAACTGAACCGGTTTCAACCCAAGGAAAACAACGAATGTAGCCCAAAAATTGCCTACAAACAAAAAATGCTTCACTCACTGGTCATAGAGTGCATCTTATGGAAAATGGTTCCTTCTATGCTTGTTACCCAGGCAACTAGGGGTTAAAGTAAAATAATTGCAATTTGTAGTGTAGATACTTTTTAAGTAGAAACAGTTTAAGAAAAAAAGAAAAGAATTAGATTTCATTAGGATGGCGTTCTGCAAAAAATGAGTTATTTTGATCAATTTTAGCAAAAATATGGCTATGATTTTTTATTTTTTAATATCTACTTATAAAATTACATTAACATATAACTGATATAAAGAAAATTGTATTTTTTTTGTTTTAAACACTTTAGCGAAAATCATAATAGACAGACAAATAAAAACGCAAAGCAAATTGCCCATCTCAAAAAAAAAAAACTTTTTTATTATACCTGCATCATAATCCTAAATTAAAACACTCTGCAGCGTACATTTTTTCAATGCTCATAAAAGATCGTAAATGGACAGATATAATAAAAACTAGCGTATAACACTCGTTTATAAGCGCCTTTAAAATACGTACGAAGTTAAAAGCACTCCGCTGAAGCGTCGTGCTCTTAAACCTGTCGTGCGTGTTTTAAAGGCTTGCTTATAAACTAGTATTATATTATACTATTATCTAAACAATATAGTTGACATCTACGTGAAAACATTTTTGGTAGGAGATTAGAAATTATTCCCTATTTTGAAAATTAACTCAAAAAAACCATTATGTATTTGCTAATTTCGGCACTGACCACTGACCAACAGTTGTCGATTCAAATTCGAATAGTATGAATTGTCAGCTTAGTCAAAATATTCCCCATTGTTGTGGTAAAGTTGGAGTAAACAACATGATTTGAGTTGATCACTAATTAAACATTAACATTTATTTTTGCTAGAACACTTTTAAAATCTTAAACATTTCCCAAAAAATAATGAAGAATTAAAGAAGTAAGAACAAAACTAGAAGCTGCACTTGATGTAAAAATTTTAATCATATTTATGAAATTTTATTTATATAAGACTAAAAAATGCTTTTAAAACATTTAAGTAGCACGACCACGTACCGCATACTTGAAAATAAATCATTTGTGTCTGCGTTTACACAACGAAAAAATAATGCTTTGTCCACATTTCCGCGCTAACGTAACATTTTATATCCCTGGACGAAAATTCCTGGAAAAGCTTTACACCCCTTTTACATTTACTAAAAATAGTAACATATTTTGTTTTAATAAATGAAACTAACTATAGTGTATTGCTTTTATATGAATAGTTTTAATGTTTGAGAGATAAAGGAAATGTCTGCTAAAATAGAATTAAAATCTTGGCGAGGGTTGAATCGGTAGTTAAAAGGGTAGTTAAGGGTTAGTAATGGTTAGAAATAGTCCATATAACTAAGTGGTAATGTTTAGACAAACAAATTTGAAAGCTTTGATTGATGTTTTATGAACTTGTTTATCTTACATGTACTACTTAACTGTAAACATTAATATACTTTAAACAGAAATGTTATGAAAAAGAATTTTTACCTTCCTCATTTAGACAGTGTTTAGTAATGGTAATAAAAATTAAAACTTAATAAAGGTTACTATTAAGCGTAATTACACATAAAGTTGGCCGTAATTTTTACCGCTTTTACACTATAAATTTTATTTTAAACTGTAATTTCCTGCCGCATATCCATTTTTTACTCGTATTACTATTTTTTCAATTTCCATATTTAAAATATTTCTATTGTGATGAATAAAGAAAGTGGTTTTGAAATGTTTTGAAACTTATTAAAAATGACGCACTTTGCATTTAAAGTCAAAAGAAAAATGGAACAAAAAGATTTTTCCTGGTTACGTAAGACGAGAGGGATTTATTACTGTGGACGTGTACTAAACAAGCCAGATTTAGACTTTGACAACTTGTACGAAGGGACTGTGGCGTTATTTATCGACAGGAGGGATGGTCGAGTGTTTAAACCTTAATTTAAAAGCGTTTGTTTCACACCAGGGAGTAATCTAATTAACGATTTAAAATTTTTTACTCGTTTTCAAACCAACTTTTCAACTGAAACAAAGTCAAACAAAAATTTTGTTCGTAAGGCTGTTACAAAAAATGTTTCTCTTTTAAAAAAAATCTCACTCATTTAACAATCACAGCAAAGAAAATAGTATGCAAATCTTCAGCAAACAAACCAAGCGGAAATTTATGTTTATTATATTTATGTTGAAAATTTTTCACATATTCATGAAGTTTACGTATTCGCTGTTGCCTCTGGCTGCAAAAGACATGCATTGCCGACAATATGGGCAAAGCTTAAGCGCCTGTTCGCGAGCACCAACTAGAAAAAGCCATTTAATCCGAAACAACATGCCGATAATGGCTTTGCACAAAGTAATTTTGACTAAAACAAATCGCTCGAACGATACAATAATGACCACCAAAATATTCAATAGAATATATTTGGGTCATTGTGTCCGGATGAAAGAATCAAGCGAACCAAAATTTTGCGATAAAACTAAACTACACAGCAAAATGAAATTTTTCCATTTTATTTATATGGAAAAAATAACGAGTTATCTTTGAGCAGGATTAATTACAATTTTTGTTGAATACATCAAAGGCTGGAATTAGCAAAATAGAGACAAGAAAAAGGTAGAAACTTTGTACAAAGGAACAAAGGGTAAGTGCAAGCAAAATCCCCTCAAATGAGCACAACTAGTAGCAAAGCTTAAACAAAAACAAATGTTATTCAGAATCTCGAATTTCTTCAGCTCAGTGTAAAATAAATAACTGTTTTTTTGTTCTAAACAGTAGCAAAAATATTTCCGTTTGGTAGCGGATTTATTGTATAGCTTTTTAAACTGTCTGAATTTTTTGTACGTTTCCGAAAAACGTTTAAACTTCGCAAGCAAAGTTAAATGGAGAGTGAAGAGGTAGCGATGAAGTTCGGAAACGTCGGCCTCATAACAATTAGAATTTCTTGAGAAATCCGGAAAAAAATCCGACGTGTATTGATTAAAACCAAATAGACTTAGTGAAATATAATTGCTTTCTGTTTCTATATTTCACCGAATCCTACAAGTTTCTTAACAAGATTGCCAACAGCACGCGATTCCTAATTCGTCAATTATAGCGATCATAATTAAAATTTCACGCCGAGAACAATAAGTAATGAGATGAGAAAAACACGTCGCTTTTTATGACCGGAAAACATTCTAATTCATTCATAAAGGGAGAAAATCGAAAAATGTGAGTAATGGATGCTGTGCGCAATCAATCACCCATTCTCTCGAATATCTGGAGTATCTTCAATTCCTGCCGAGACCCCAAATCGAATTATTGATTTTGTTCACTTAAAAATCTTCCACAATCGGAAAATTACCGAATAAATACTTAAATGGGAAAGGACGACGTTGTCAGCAGCCATGAGACAAAAATAAAAACCTGCTGAAAAGCTTTGTTTGTGATACAAGAAGTCAAATAATCACGAATCTGTATCATTTATTTATGGCGGGTTGAGAGGCATCTCAGTTATTCTATTTCACCAAATTACCGTAAACTTATCAGTTATAATCCGCAGAAGCTTACTACATACGCAATCAATATTACAAAAGGTACAGCTTTATCTCTATTATACACACCTAACACTGGAAGCTGGAACATTTCATGCGTTTTCAGTAAACAGATGAAGAAAACTCAAACTTCTTCAAAAGTTCAAACAATGAAATATTGGAACGAGAGCAAAAATACTTCAAACATATATCAATGTTTGATCATAAAAGCTTTAAACATTGCATGAAAAATTGAACGATCTATCATTCTTTGTTTTCAGCGTTACAAATGTGTAATAATAAACATATAATATTAAAAAAAAATTGTTCAACCACAATTATTATGCAATAAATATTGATGCTGAACTCTCATAAAATAGTCTCCCTATTTTTCTCTTGAGTTGTTACGCTTACAGTTACCTTACAGCTTCCATATCACAAGTCAGCAAAAAGTTATTTAAGTGCTGCCATCTTCATGGCAGTAGCACAGCTGCCAACTATTCTCTCTAAGGATTACTCTAAATAAAATCCAAAATCAAGTAAATATCTTTATTTCTGCTTTTTATTGCCAGAATTTCTCTTCTTTCTTTTGCGACGCTCCCGCTTCTGTTGCCGTAAATCACAATTATGGTAAATTATCTCACAGTTTGCTTTACCCAAACCAAGAATCGAAGCTTTCAAACTATCAAGCATTGATGTCGCCGGATTTATATTTTTGGTAAGACGACCGGAAATCCAACTCATGCCCAAGCTGCAATTGAAATTATTTCAAAATTCACAAATGTTTGTTAATCGGTTGTAAATAAAAGAGGTGATATTGTTGTGATGGAAGTTTTTTAATTCGTGCTTTTTGTTAACACGTAAACATGAGATGTGCAAAAAATATAGAAACAATTATTACTTACGAAACTATTTTCTAATTATTTTCTCCTTTGTTCTACCTACCTCCACACTGGTATCAAAATTTTATTATTTCCTTCAATAGTCCTAGAATACTTATTATTTTCACACAAAGTTAATCTCAAACAATTCCCATCATCTTCATTGGCCAGAAAAGCAGCTTCTATTGATGTCAAAATCCTTCTAGCTAACTCGTTTAGAGCTTGATTATTCGGATTCGTAATAATCGGAATGTCTCGCTTGTACTGAAACTTAATGGTATCCCTCCCAGTAGCAGTACCACCAGTTCCAGTGCCAGTTCCTCCCGTTCCGGTGCCAGTACCAGTACCAGTACCAGTTCCAGTTCCAGTACCAGTTCCAGTTCCAGTTCCAGTACCTGTGGAACCATCTCCTGTAGATCCTCCGTTTCCATCTCCTTCGCCTGTTCCACCGTCACCACCGGTACCGCCTCCCGTGCCTGTTGGAGTCTCCCCGCCATTTCCAGTGCCGGTACCACCTCCCGTGTCAGTTGGAGTCTCCCCGCCATTTCCAGTGCCGGTACCACCTCCCGTGCCAGTTGGAGTTTCCCCCCCATTTCCGGTGCCTGTTGGGGTTTCTCCTCCACCTGTGCCTGTCCCGGTACTTCCCCCACCCATGCCTGTGCCAGTACCACCCCCTCCCGTGCTTGTACCACCACCACCATTCATACCAGTCGAAGTTGGAGTCATACTCATCGGCATCATCATTCCAGTCGCTGTTGAAGTACTATTAGTCTAGAATAAAATTGTTAGTTGCACGACAAACCTAAATTGGATACTTACAGCCATAGAAATACACATTATTACATGAATTATAAACAGTCCAAATGACAAATAAGCTAGAGCAGTCAATGCAATTTCGAATAAATCGGACAAATCATGATCTTTAGAACTGCTGTGGCTTTCTTCGTGGTAGATTTGATACTTTGGTTGCTCAGGGATAATATGTTCAGGTTCTGGCATACCATGACCACCATACCCTACTTACGAAGTTGTAGAAGCTTTTCTAAAATTTTCCTAATACATACCTCCTCCTCCATGGGATGTAATTCCGCCACCGCCATAACCACCGCCTCCACCTCCACCTCCGTAAGAATATCCGCCGCCCCCACCATTTGAACCTCCATGAGAGTATGGATAACCACCGCCTCCACCTGAAAAAGACATTCCCCCACCCCCACCACTATAACCAAGTTTTGATCCACCTTGTTGTTGATAATTGTAACCAACAACTTGAGCGTCATAATCGTCATTATTTTCGTCATCTTTATCGTCATCGTCTTTATCAATTCGGTTGCCCTTATTGTCATAATGACGGTATATATCTTCGAGAGTAGTACTCCTAAAAACTGATTAAAAACACAAAAAACTATTACTAGAAACAAAATATGTACTTGGAAAGCCAATCCTTGTAATTAGAGGATCCTTCGTCTTGTAACATTTGATTTTTAACATTTTGTCCTTTTTCCCGTTTTTGTGAATTTGGGGCTTGCGACCCCATTCGTCTTTTAATTCTTGATAAAGTCATGTCACTGATAATTTCCTCGGCGACGTAATTTCGACACAAATATTCATTCATCATTGATCTACAAATTATAAAACCACTAAAACTGAACAAATTAATAAACTAGATATTACCTGTGATAACCCATTGTTTCCATCGCATTCCCAAAAGACCCATCACCATTCTTATCACTAAACTCCAAAATACTGTCATTCAAATTTTTCACTGCACCTTTAGGATTCTCAAGCATGAGAAGTGTCCCCGGCATAAAATCCTCCGATAAAATATCGTCAACGTCAATCACATTATTGCCTAAGATTTTGTCAATGTTTGTAAATAATGCGATAAAAAATAGAAAAACTTCCATCATGATGTTGATTTTTTAAAATCTAGCTTAAAACTGAATATGATTTATTTCCGTGTTGGAACTGCTTGAACCGGATACGACAATTTTTGCAATTTTTAACCGTGAAATGTCATAACAGTTTTAAATGGTTCATGCTACTGAAAATACGTGCCGTTAGGAAGTTGTTATCGCGCTGTTAGTGAAGTATTTTTCCGGTTCGGGTAAATCAAGACTAGAAATTAGGGACTATTATGATGAAATTAATTAAAACTGAATTTTGAAGAAAACCTAAATTTCAAACAAATTTCTGTTTTTACACTTTCTCAACAAGAAGCAATTTAAAAAATCGAAATACTTTCGAATAGTGTTTAAAAAATTGACATTTTCAGTTAGCAGAAGTTGAAATTTCTTGGTAATTTAAATTGATTTAAAATTTTGAACGTAATATAATTATTGTTATTAATTAAACACATCATTTAATTAAACAGAACTGATTGAATAAAAAGATAAATATGTACTGAAAGACTTGCGTTTTTGTGGCCTAATACAACTTTTTTTCTTAATTTTCAATAATTTAATAAACTTTTAAAATTCATGAATTAAAAATTATAAAAAAATCTGTTTTTTTTAAATTTGAGTGTTCTTGAAAAATTAGCGTACTAAGTATATGTCTTATTTCAAAAAATAAAATGAAAACAAAATAAAAATGTGCACATGTGTTTATTGTATTACATATTTGGAGACAAATTTCAAGAGAATGCTTTCACATTATAGTTTTGGGTTATTTTTTTTTAATTTTGTTCATGTCCATTGGTCGAAAATATGGCGGAATGTTCAATAAAGAATGTAACACCTTTCGTAATACGTGTTTAAATGTACTAATACTGAAAGTGTCAACCCATAATGTGGTAAACGATAAACAGTAGTCAGGATTGGTAGACCGGAGCCATGCGCAAGAATCTTCTCTTTCAAGCTCCCCTCTCAGTAACGGCTTTTATACCTATTCGCTGTTTTGCTCTATTGTTGCAATAATAAATGATTTCTGTACTCTCGGATAGCTGAAATAACGCTTCTAAATGGGATATATTTTCCCCTGAAAGCATTGCAAAGTGTTTTTAATACATTTTAGTAAATGGACTTTATTGTATACCAACACTCATCCTTAAAACCTCATCTGAAGATAATAATTTCTCATTTATACAAAATTTACAAATGTAGAAAAATAAAATCTTATTTTGTACATTCGATTTGCCCCGTGAAGAGCTTTTAGTGGTGATTTATCTGTTTGCGATTGGCTGTCATGTGCTGGTTGGAAACCTACATGGGTGGTTATACAGTTTTAAACAGGTGTTTCAGACAGGTCTATTCACACTCTTGTTATATCGTTACGGAGGTTAAAAGCAAAAACTCCGAAAATTGTTTTAGTAATTTTCGATTTTTCATCGCCGCGGGATGATGGCCACAATTGAAATGCAATTTATTATCGTAAGAGGGAGCACGATTCAGCGTGAGCATCACTTACATCAAACAATGTGAATCCAGATGTAAATTTATGGTGTAAAATGATATCAACCACTTAACTACATTTATCTCCCCCATTTGGTGGATGCTGTTAACCAGAGAACATCAAATAACTAATACAATGGCCGGTAATGCGGCTATATCTCGATGTTATGAAAAACTCATCTGCTTGAGTAGTGTGGGAGAATTATAATAGCGGAGTGTGCATTCGTCCAGTGATTTCAAACAAACTGCATTTAAGTTGAGAGAGAACACATTTTTTTTTAAATCTCTGTTTTACAATTCTGTATATTGATATCTATAAACTGTTTTATTTTTTTTGAAATATATCCAAAAAAAAACTTTTCTTCTTAACATATTTATTTTTAAAATCACATTAGTCTTTTGAAATAATTATTTAACGAATAAGTTTTTGTGATACTTGGTGGCAATTAGGAGTATATTAATTGTACTGTTTCCAAAGTGTTACTACACGCCACGGCCGTTATAAATTTAACAGCCATGTGTATAGTTTGACAATATGCTATGAATAATTTCTGAAAATAATCCTTTAGTATCGCAAAAACTATGAAACATCATACAACCAATATTCATATCACAGACTTGGATAATTTATAGCCTCGACTAACACCTCGGTCATAAAATTTTTTCTTGTCTTACGTATGAATAATATTAGCCTAACACCGTTTTGTAGTACTCTTAGAAATAATTAAGAAACGAAATATTTCAGCATCGCGGGCGTAGCGAGTGCTTTAATTGTAAAGACGAATGAATTAGATATACTTACCTACTTATCTGACTTTGCCAAAACCTCGTTAATTACAGGTTCATTTATTAATAAGAATAATTAATTAATTTAGAAAATTTCTACATCACGAAGTCATGATTCTGGATAATAATTCAAAATTACACAAATCAAACTACTATTTCAAGAAAGAAATTGCTGCTGTGATAAAAAAATAAATAAATTATTATTTTACAACAGATTATAAATATGTAGAACGATTTCTAGTAAAATTTATTTTTTCTTTTTATAGTTAAACTTATCAAACATTCAAAAAAATGTTCTTCAACTTCTTAGAAAAGATTTTACAACATTTTTTCTAATCTCTATTAATGTTTATTGTGAATGTTTAAGAAAAATCAATATTGACACCAGTTAACAAAAACATTTTTTTTAATCTTTTAAAGTTTAGTTTATTAATTTTGTCAAATATGTACTCTTACCAGTTTTTGTATATAAAAAATATTGATTCTATTTTGAACATTTTTGAAAAAATCTGTTTTTTGAACGTTAGAGAAAAATTTTAATGAAAGGTCATTGATAGCTTATTTATTAGATAAACGTATGTACATTAGTTCATCAAAATAAAATTTTACTAATTTAAAAAACTAAGAGAGAAAATAACAGATTTAAAAAAGTTATCTTAAGTTGTATTGACATTCCATATACAGAGTGATTCTTAAATAGACCGACAAAATTTTATCCTTGGTAGTATCAAATGAGAACATGCTAGAAAAAATATTTAAAAAATTCATTGTGTAAACATTCTTCAAATAAAATTTATTAACGTTATTTTCGAGGTAAAGCGTACGCCACTGATGTGTTTCTAAATAGTATTAGCACAGGTAGTGGAAACCATGGTATTAACTTGATAAAAATGTATTTGATCATTGAACAATTCATAAACGCAGTAAGTGGCACGAATCAAGGGGGTTTTGCCCCTAAAAGATACAAACGTAAAAAGGGTACTGTTTGTCTCCATTTATCATTGGGAAGCTGTGATAAAATTTTGTCGGTCTATTTAAGAATCACCCTGTATGGAATTATACTATCTAATCTAGAAATTATTCATATTTATGTACTAATCTCAAGTTTTTAAAGTTTTTCTCTGCCTTTACGTCAATGTTAACAGTTCAAAATTTGTTAAAATAAAATTTTGGGTAATTAGCAAAGAGACTAATTTAAAGTAAGTAATATTCTTATTTTTAAAAATAATTTAAAAATGTCTAAATAAAATAGAAAATAATGTCATATAAAAAAAATTCAACCTTTTCACAAGAGTAACGTAATATATATTTTTTTCTATTTGGGCGTCACAATGAGCATTTTACAGATAAACTGAAAAGAGTTGCACAAAATGAAACTTTGCAACACTGTTTTTGGTAATATTTTATGCAATACTTTTGTCATCACTGAATCCATATTCTCGTTTTTAAATGAGAAATTGTTGTAGATCAACGTATTTCATTGGGTACCGCATACGTCAAATATCATCAGTTTTAACTGTGAAATATAATATAATAATACATTCAATTTAAAAATATCTCAATAGAAACCTTTCATTGTGATACTTGTGCATTGTAACACTCTCCACTGCGTGGCTCGTGTCACAAACTACTCCTATATCACAATGAGAGTGTTTGTAACACTTGTTTTTTAATATACTACCTTTTGTACTATAGTCTCCACTTAACAGTAAGAAATTTTTTACATAAATAAAGAAATGTTCGATGATTTAATCATCGTAATTCTTAAAAAGTGTTAATAATTCTATACAAATAATTTTATAGTATCTGATTAATCTGTTAAAAAATAATTTTCAACTGTTTTCGATTTTTTTATGGTGGAATTTTTTTCTTTTTTATCTTTTGCGACATGTTTTACATTTTATCGAAAGAACTTAAAATAGTTTACCAAATTAAAAAAAAAATGCACTGCTGGTCATCTCTTTTGATTGATGACCCCTTCAAGGTCTTCCGTCTCAAAAATCTAATCGCCCCCAAATTCCTCATTCTCCTTGGAATGAATGATGGTAAATCTGTTTCGCGTCAGCTATAAGTCCAGCAATAAGGGTGTAAACGGTTGAGAACCACACGTAAAAGGAAGTATAAAGGTGCGAAGATGGATTTTAGGGCAAGTTGAAAACACGCGAAATACCAATCTGTAGCGGCGGCTGACGAGATGAGCAACACGGGGCGGGCATTTAGAGGGAGGGACAGGTACGAGGTGTTAGTTGATTCAGCAAAGGATCTAATGGACCAGCCTTAGAAGGCACAGTAGCTGAAACACAACTAGTCCTCGAAATCATCTCCTGAATCATGGAACGGTACGAAAGTGACCGCGACGTGTCCGAAGACGAGCAACATTTTTTAGAATCGGGTGACGATTTTACTTCGGATGAAGAACAAAGTGTTGATATTGTGGCGGAAGAACAAAAGGAAGAAAGTTCGTGTGAGGAAAGTGTAAATAGTAATAAGTTTTCGATTGATAGCATTTTGGGACTAAATAGGAAATGCAAAAATGAAGAGGACAAAATTAACGCCAAAGAAATTAAGTTTGTTAAGCCTACACCGCTGCCGGCGGCTCCACGCACAGGTTGGCTATCATAAATTTATTCATAAAAATAACAAAAATATTATACAGATTTTTCATTTTTTATGAGTAGTTAGATATAATTTTTTTAATTTTTAAATTAACAAATTTGTTTATTTTAGGTTTATATCAATCAGTCATAGATTTGCAACAATTTGGAAGACCTGATCCTGCTCCTCCCGATCCTGGATTGTTGGAATTTCTTTCAAATTCTAAAGTTTCAAGCTCTCAAAATAGTTCTTCCGAATCATCTTATATCCCTTATCATCTTCACCCTGGAACAAGCTCTTCTTCTTTTATTTACACAAATTGGTTGAATGCAACTGCAGATCATAAGACTTCTAGCCACATTTTTGGATTACAGGGTAAGTTTTTAAAATTTCATTCAGTTTTAAATATAGACAGATTTTCATTACAATACAACTCTTTTGGCAAAAACTAAAATTTAACTAACAGATTCTCCAGAAAGTTGGAAATTATTTAATTATTATTTCACTTTAAATATTATAACTTTTCTTTCTGTTACATTTGTCATTTATAATTATTGACGCTACAACACGTAAATATCCGCAATATCATGCAGTTTTTTGCGAAAACTGTTATAAACTTGATAAGCGTAATTCTAAATTTTAACGCGTCGACTCAATCACTACTTGAAATTGAATACTCTTTTTTATTTTTTTTATTTAAAATTCTTAGAAACCATAAAAAGAAGGTATTGGTGTACCTACATTTTTAATAAAGCTAATTTTTTTTACAAATTTGAAACATTTATAGCTCTGGTTAATAATAAATTAAACCTTCATTACATGATTAATGATGATGAAAAATGAATTTTTCTTGACCTAACTTTATTCTTTACAAATAATTTATTTGTATCATTTAATTACCTAAATAAAAATGTGAATAACATTTAATACTACCACTCCAATGACAATTTAAATCTAATTTCCAAATTGTATTTTTTTACCTTAGATCTTTTATATGTATAAATTTATATAATGAATAAAGGGAGATTTTTCAGTGTGTCCATTTGGAAGTAAAATCTTTCGTTCTGTTTTGGAAAAATGGATTAGTTTTGCTAATATTTCAATTGTTTGCCCCAAACGAATTAAAAAGCAGTGATGTTGTCGATACGGTAATGTCACAACCAAGAATTTAACAAAACATTAGAGAAATGGTCACATAATTATACAAATACAGATCTGGTCAGTTTTATTTATTGTATTTCTACCCTGATAAAATAATGCTATAGTTTTAAAATAAATAAATACACTGTTTTTACTTTATTACGCATTTATTTAATAAAATACAGCACCGTGCATTTGTGATAATTCTAACATCAATAAGAATAAATGGAAATTAAAAAAATCAAATCTCAAACTATCTTAAATCGGCATTAGAATGCCACTTATTTTTTATCTATATGCCTTACACATAGCTACATTAAGAATATATACATTATAGAACAAAGTAAAGTAGTTTTTTTTTAATAAAAGCATGTTAAATAACATACTAGACATTTTTTGTTATATTTAATGTATGTATGTACATGTATACCTAGGTAATTCAAACGAATTATAAATAATTAGAAATTGTAATCATTGTTGTACTGTGAGAAGAATCAGCACGCGTTTAGAAAATGTTATTATTAAATACTTTTAAAGCTATTCAATTAATCATATAAAAGACGTAAATGGTCGTTCATTACTTCACAGAAGAGATGAACAATAACATGAATGATCGAAAATGGTCGGATCGCGTGCAGCTTAATAATAAGATGGCGTAATAAGAATTGAACAATTTACGAATCACTTTATTCGCAAACTCATTTATTATAGTGCTGATAACTATTATTGTTATTTACTTTACACAACTCTTAGGCAAAAAAATTGATGTATGTGCTCCTCTTTAAAATAAAAAAAATGTTTCAACTCATTGGCAAGCACGTAAATCACGTCTAACTTGTCATTTCTGTAATTGACTTCTTGGAAAACCGCCTGGTGTGAAAAAAAGAAATATCTTGAGCAGGCTTAAACAAACTATTAACTACTTTAACAAATAAAAATTTTTAAGAAGTCAAACAATGTGTTTTACATACCTACATGATCGTTTTGGAAACAGGTGGTTAAGACTATAAAACAGTTAATAATTTCCAAAACCAATAAAAGTAACGTTTCAATTCAGCTTTCGAAATTAACAAATTCGGAAATCGGTTGTTGCTTTTTATTGACACAGCTACTATAGGTACCTACTAAATGTGTTGCGAAATGACGTTATTATGCTATTAGTGAATAATTTGTCGCGTATAAACTTATAATTGTTCAAATAGGTAGACATTAACATTAATTAGCAATATGGTTATAGTGTTTATGTTGGTTGAATCCTGATCGTACGTGCTAATTGAAAACAAAGGGCACGTTTTAAATGTATTTACCGAAGAAATTACCGCACGACTAGCGGCTGCACAAAATCCAGAAAAAGTGGGAGAGATTATGTGCTTATGTGTGTTGACTTAGGAGTTTGACACTGTCATGTCACATAACTTACAAGCTGACAATTTGCCTGTTAAACACCTGTGTACAATTTCAAACACAATATTTATCTACAAGTCGCATTTACTACCGAATTTTTACCTTCAAACCCCGAATTTCACCAATTATCCTCCAATAAAACCACTAAATACATATTTATCAAAGCAAAAACGCAATTACGTGACATCAATAAGCAAACTCAAACAACTGTTAATATCGCAATGTGACAATCGTGTTAGTAAATGCAAATCACATGTTTACATCTTTATTTTACGACAATTTCGAAAACTCTCTAATTCCTTCCATTTATAGCGCCCAAACCGGCCAATCGCAGGTCCAGAAAACCGGGACTGGACCGAAAACCCAGACAAGCCTACAGCGCCAAACAACTGGAAAGACTAGAAAGCGAATTCAAAGTCGACAAATATCTAAGCGTTAGCAAAAGAATGGAGCTTTCAAAAGCCCTCAATCTCACTGAAGTACAAATTAAAACGTGGTTCCAAAACAGGAGGACAAAATGGAAGAAACAATTGACGACGAGACTCAAAATGGCGCAGAGACAGGGACTTTTCCCACCGCATTATTTCGCGCCAGCCGCACAACAGTATTCTGCACTTTTTACGCCGTACTATTCGACACTTGGGTGCGTTTTTGGCGTCCCGACGATAGAGGACGCCACAGCGACGGAAACAGTCCGAAGAGGATCTATTTCAAACTGAATTTATATCGACATTAGTTCATTGTATCTTGCTGTATATTTGTATTTATTATTACATATTAAATTAATTAATTTAGACATTTGCCAATTTTTTTATTACCAATTACTTAAGGAGGGGGCGCGAGTAATTCAGCCACAAGATGGCGCATGTTTTAAAAACTCGAATGAAAGAAGTGTTTATAGATAAAATTTTAATCGTGTTTTGGGTAATACAGTTGATAAAGATAACATCGGTGGCTTAGCGTACAAATGTGCTACTGTGCATAATTTGCACAATTTTTGAACTTTTAAGTGTTTCAAAAGTCTAAATACAAATTCTGAAAAGGTAATTATGATGAGCCAACAAACCTCAATTTTCGTTGAAAAAATGTACGATAAGCCATCGTCTGTTATAAACCACTAAAATAAAAAATATACACGTTATTAACACAAACTTAGGCGTGAAATACTTTGTGAACTCTTTTGAAGGTTTTGGACCTTGAGCTTATTACAAAAATGCTGGTAAAACAATAATTATTAAAAAAATAGATTCCTATCTAAAGGCACTTATCCCTAGAACCTCCCTCAGAAATAACAATCTCGATCAGAAAAGTGCTGTATTTCTATAAAATAAATATAAATAAATATCTTATAAGTAAATAAGTTAACTATAAATAAAACATTCTCCTAACAAAAATAATTATCATTTTACATTATTGTACGTACATTTAAACCTAAAAAATCGAATGCGATTCAGGTATTTTGTTGTCAATAAAGTACAATTATCACAAAGTTATACAATTTAAAAAAATAAAAACTAAAGTGATTCTAGTCCAACGCTCCTTGGCCCGTGTTTGGCAACATTAGACACAGCAAGCCGCTTCCTGTAATGAAAAATAAGTGTAACAGGTGTGCAAAAGGTAGATTAATTGTCACTCACCTAATAACATAGCTGCAAATAATACAATCGGGACGACGCAATTCAAATCAATGAGGAAGCCAAACAACAGATTACCAATGAGAGCACCTCCTCGACCAAATGTTAACGACAAAGCAGCGGCCATTACCCTAAAAATTATTTTCAACAATATTCTATTGCTTTCCTAAAAAATAATTACCTCAAGTTCGTTGGGAATAAATCCACCATAACACAATATACGGTACTAATTCCCAAACTTGTTAAAGCTTCAAAAATACACGAAAGAACCAGGTTTGACGTTGCTGAATTGACGAAATACAAACCAAAAGTGACAGCTCCAGCAACAAGTAAACTGAAAACTATTTGAAAAATTAGTTTCCATTAAAGAAAAAAAAAAAAAAAAACGAACCTAAGAAAAATTTAGCTCCCAGTCTGTGCACACACAACGGTAACCAAAAGCTTGTAGGAATACAAGCAAGACCAATAATTAAAGTGTGAAGAAAAACAGAATCGGCAATAGGTTCTCCACAGAATTCTTCATGCGATGGTGTGGTCATATTGACAGGAACCACAACCGAGGAGACTTCACAAACCGTAGCTTTTTCGTTCGGATGAAGATTTTCGAATTCTTCAAACCGGTAGAAAAGCTCCGGGAACCAAATCATCAAAGTGTAGTAACTAGAAATAAATGTGAATTTTAAGGGAAGACAAAAAGTAAATTTTGGTACCTTGTAGTTAGGCCAAATTGAATCAGACACGTAATTATGGTATATCTAAGATGTGGAGGTTTACATAAAGCCTTGGTCTGTTCCCAAATTTCTTGCATAAGCAATTTCAACTCTTTTGGCTTTCGGATCCTTAAACTACGAATACTGCGAGTGGATTGTTGAGAAACCACACTCATTGTGCGAACTTTTTCTCTTAAACTAATCACCTAAATCAAAAAAGAATGTATGATAAAGTCAGTGGCAATTTCTAGATTATTTACCGGAAAGTTGGCAGCACTGTCTCCCGTATTACTGGCATACATATCTTTCAGAACTTCTAAAGCCTCTTCCGCTTCGCCACACTCCAGTAAAAATTTCGGACTTTCCGGGAAGAAGAACAGCCAAAGTCCGATAAAAAGACTCGGAATCGAGCAAGTGGCAACAAACAAGTTCCAACTAGCAAACTTAAAATTATCAGTTTGGTACACAAATTCCATAGGAATTATGATCCAGGCAATTCCCGGCAAGACAATAACGCCGAGAGTCCAGAAGAGTTCCATCCAACATAAAATCGTCTCGCGGTATTTGCCGGGTTGAAATTCGCCCAAGTAAGGGAAACAGATGCCCATTGCACCTGTTATACTAAATATAGAGTTAGATGGGTTTAAAGGAGATTTGGGAAAGGCTTACGCAAATCCGTTTAGGAATCTAAAGAGCATGAAGAGCCAATAGACTTGGGAAATACTCGATAAGAGGCCGCAGCAGCCGTCCATGAGCAAGGCACCGATTAATACTGTTTTACGTCCTTTGGTGTCAGCCAGGCATCCCCAGAAATACGAGCCAATTACCATACCTAAAAGAGAATATTATCTAGCGGATATATTTTTATTTAAAAATTTTAATAAAAAATATAACTTTTTCAAAATTCTTTTGTGATTTATGTTAAATGTATGTAAAAATTTCGTACCTAAACATAATTTTATTTTTTTAAGAAACTTCAAGAATCACTAACTCACTGATGAGTGATGTTTGATTTTATCAACATTATAAACTGAATTCTAAACTAGTGAAAAAAAAATAAGCAAATTGTTGGAGTTCGACCCGTACGAGTACAAAGATTTTCTTTGTTTCTACTTCAAAAAATATTTTTTAATTTTATTTTAAAATATCTCGCATAATACTCATAATAGTTATGTCAAATAAATTAAAAATTCATTTCCTTAATAGATCTGACCTTTGTTGATATAATTTTATTAAATACAAACTACAGATATTTAAAAACTAATTTAAAAAGATTAGTATTTATAACCTGTAGTTACGCCACTGCTTTGCACAAATCAAATATTTGATAAATTATTAAAAAATCTGAGTCATAAAATATAAAATATTAATAATTGTGTAAATATGTATATTTCATATTCAAATTTTTCATCAATTTTTATTACTCAAACAAGCCGGCATTTAGTCGGCTATCATCTTTGTCCTTATTTTTTTACAAAGACTAGTTTTACTTTTTAAAATTGTGTAAAACGTTAAATCATATTTATATTACTAATACAATTAGAAATAGTTAATATAAACATCATGTCAGTATTTTTTAAAGTTTTTAATTGTTTTATATTTACATAAGTAATTAGGGGTATACCTATAGTAATTATCGTAGTTAGGTTCCAGAAGTAAACTATTTAAAAAATGTGTGTTTTGGTAATATTTGCAACAATTTGTTTACAGTTTCGTTTATCAAATTGTCCCGAAGCTGTAAACCTTCGTTCCGAATAGGCAATAAATCTGCAAACCTTGTTGAAGGTATTCCAGCTTAGGATCCCGCGAATAGTCGAGGTTGTCATTGATTTATGCCTAGAGTGTCTGAGACAATTTCATTTTAACTATGACATTGATTGAGTCTCGTTCAATTTAAGAGAGTTTATGATCGCTTTTTCCAACAATAGTATCCGGTCAAGGCCCTCAGGTTTAATTTCCCTTTCTTGGTCTCGATCTTATCTTAAAATTCACTTACCAAGCATGGGGGCGGCTGTCAGCCATCCTTTGTCCGAAGACGACATTTCGAAGTCGCATGTTGCCGATGGCAAAACGAACGAGATTATTGTTATTCCAACGGCGGTGTTCAAATAAATTAAACCACATATTGTCAACAAGGCGAAATGAAATTTTCCGAAACCTACAACATGCGATTTTAACCCTGACGAAACAATACGGCAAGGCTGAGATTAACATCAGATTTTGGCACCCATCTGGGTCAAGTGTGACCCTCCCTTAATTAAGCTAACAGGGCACAATCGATTCCTAACCACCTGTTATTATCTCAGACGAGCCCGAGGTAAACAATTATTGTTAATGTGGCCGTTATTGATTTTTTCAAAACGGAAAATTTCCTACCTGTGCTCTCGAGCGCCCTTTCGAAGTCTTCGCCTTGGCCCTCGATGAAGTCTAATCCTGAAGAAAGAAAAAAAATTAGTTGGGACAAAACCGAGTTTGCTGATTCGAAGCGATGAAAAACACTAACCCATGTTGGTGTCGTAGCAAACGCTCCAATACAAAATCCGAATAATTACAGGTGTCACTCGAAGAAACTCACAGTACAATAATATTATTTAGCCGCGATTGTAAATATCATATCCCGCAGTACGTTACCTTCGCATAATACTGATTTTCATTGGTCAAATGTCCATTATCAGTCATTATCTCAAGTTCATCTACTCCCAGATTGGTTATTTTCGATTTTTGCATCGGTTGTGGTTTTACAAGCAAATACCCATCACTCGAGTCACACACGCGTTAATTAATTTAGAAAGATTTTTTTAAGACGACTTAAGACGGATTAAGTTCTCTTTCTCGTGACATCCGTGCTTGTGGCAGTAGTATAACAAAAATGATGGGTCTAGTGACAAGTTCAACTAAAAATAGAAATAATCGATGGTTAAATTAATCCCATTAATTAAGTTTACACATGTCACCTGTGTTATGGAGCAGTAATTTGGACCACATTAATGTTCCATTAAAATACTTTATGCTCACGGAGAAAATTATTGCGTTCTAATTTCTATCTATACATAATAACACCATCAAAAATTTACCCATGTTTACCCCTTAGATGACAATCGATAAAATCAATCACTTAAGTAAATTTAGACGCGTTTAGTATACATCAAGCACGATTATTTTAAAGAAAAAGAAAGTAACACACTTAGCTTATCATTCGCTAAAATTACCTCTACTTTTATTCGAATTGTTAGATCGTTTCGTGTGAATAATTTACTAGACATTAAATTAAACATCTGGATCTTAAATTAAGCAGAAATGTTTACTTTTAGATCAAATATATAAATCAAAGACCGTAAAGTCAATCAATTCGAAAATACAATTAACAGAAAATTATCAGTTACGGAAAATACCCACCGCACCAAAGTTATTTGTGTGATATTGTTTAAAATTAAATTATCGGGAGACATCTCAGATTTTATCTTGTTAAAAAATAGACAAATTAAATATTTTTAGAGCAACACGAATTATACTAATGAACAAAGTTCAATTTTGTAAAATTGCCAAAGATATTTTTATTTACTTCGTTTTATCAGCTAAATATTTTTGATTCACATCCTGGTCGCAAACAAATAAAAAAATGTGATTGATTAAAAAATATTTATTGAAAAATACACTAAAGAAACAATATCTCACAAAATACTTTTACTACATTGAAACACAAATTAACAATACATTTTGAAATAATACAATTTGTATTTTTAAAACTGAAATTATCGAGTGCCAGGTCAGATTTGACAACCAACCGAAACACTCAAAAGACAAAAGTTTACACCTGGCATTAGAAAACATAAAAATAAAATAATGAAACAAAAAATGAAAAAAGTGTAACATACACAAAAATACGTTGTACAAAAATTCAGCAGCAACCTTTAAAGAATCTAATTTTGGAAAAAATTATAACTTATTTAATTATAGAAAATGGTCTATAGAAAGTGGGGTTTAATCGTAATTATTATTTATTTTTATGAACACGCCCTTACAATGTTACAATTATATTCCTTAAGTAAAACATTTATTTTAAACAAGAAATTACTTTCTAGCTAAAAGTTTCAAAGCTTGAAATAACAATAATTTTTGCAAAATTATACGAGTATAATGTAATAAACTTGAAAATATAAAAAAACAACTTCTGTGAATAAGAAATTAATTTAAAACAACAGAACAAATTTAGAAAAAAAATATTTTCAATGTCTTAACTCTATTATCTATAAAGGTAATAAACTAAACAGAATTAAAAATTTGTTTAATATTCTTAATTATTATGCATCGGACTGTTTGATTAATGATTATTAATAAATCACAATCAATAAACATTTTTAGAAATAAGATAAAAATTGGCCAACTGACAAAGTGGCAATGGAAATCAAGGACTTCGTAATAAAAATTAAAGTTATAATAGAACAAAGCAAGGCAATTTAATTTTTAAACCGCAATAATGTTCCAGAATAATAAAAAGCTCCAAGTTAAAATTTCATTCATGAACTAAAATACTATAATAGTAATTTCCCAAGTATAAATTATGTTCAATTAATTACTGTTGATTTTTATAGTCACGTTATTCTAATAGTTTGAGTTTATTAACCTTAATTAATGAAAATTCATAAGAGAAATGGTGCATACAAATTAAACATTATGATTATGAAATTGATTTTAGTCCTTAACCTTGGACATTTATTATCAATTTCTCAAATTTCTAATTAATGAAATAATAAAATCAAAGGACCGTCGTAGGCAGTTTATCAACCTGAGATTATTCCCAATGCCGTATTTAGTAACAAATCAGTTGACCTTTCTTTTACATTTCGCTCATTAGCGATTCATTCAAAACGAATTAAATCCTCAAGCAAATAATCCGCTCACATATTAAAAAATTCCCTGTGACTAAATGAAGTCATCGTAAATTCATCGGGCCACCATTTATCCGTTTGGAAATTAATAAAGTGTTAGTTAAGCCTTCGACCCTGACCCGCATTCATAATCTATTATCAAACTGTAGTCCACGATCCGGCTCGCAAAAAATTCAGAAAGGCGTTCAATTAGCAGCTAATTACACGCTTTTACGTATCGATCAATCATATCGGGAACCAGTTTGCCGAAAAAATTCCGATCCAAAAGGGCACGCTATTTTTGGCGGATGGCAGGAAATCCGATATACAGTGCGGTCAAGAAGAACTGGTCCATCTGGACGCAAGGACGCGTACTTGTCCCAGACAATAATAACACTAGGTGTGAACTCGATTTGAATACAAGATTTTTGTGTACCAGCACCGGAATTCATAATGTGATATTGACATATTTTATTGCTAAAATGTTGTTCAAATCGCAAGGAAATTTATGAGACCGCTAGAAATGTAGTGGTATTTAAATGGTATTCAAGTGGAAATGTGGGACACTTTTTAATTGCACGATTCAAGCGAGTCGAAATTTTTATGGATTTTTATATCATGCGTAATTAGTATTATATTCAAGTATTCAACCCACGTGGAATATACCTATTTCCCAACACAAGGTGACGCTGTACTAAGGACAAAATCGATTTCAATTCTAGACACCTCGTTTATTAAAAAAAAATATGACTTTAGACTCGAACTGCAACAATAAAAACACAAAAAAACTACGAATTCTCAAATATATAATTTAAATCTTGCAATAAGTAGCAAAAACAAAATAATTATTATTTTTTCAAGAAAAAAATTGTGGTTCAATTCCTGGTCCAAAAAATACGTTATGTATTAAGGCTAACTACACATGATGAAAAAACACAGAAATTTCTATTCTATTAATTTAAATCAAAAACACGCAAAAATTTAATTTTCAGTAGTATATTGCAAAAGTAAATTTCAGAAGTAAAATAATTTTTAGTAAATACCTACTGACTTGAAAATCGGAAGTTCACCCTGCATATTAGAAACAATAATAAAAAGTTTAAATATGTGTTAACATATACACAAAATATATAAGATTGTTTATAAGTTTTAAGTAAGTCTCCGAATAGTCCATTACTAAAGTATAAATAAACATACAAAAAAAATTTTTCGCTTATTATAAAATTTATAGCTAGCATATGAAAGGAAAATAAAAAGCAACAGGTAAACACAAACAAAAGTGTAACAAACTCCAATTAGTACTAACAACAAAAATTAAATAATAATGAAATGACCATTTCAAAATAGCTTTGAGCGACTTGAGCCGTAGATGAATTTAAAGTTTTATTCACGTGTTACTGAGTGTTATTAAAATTTTATTCAACCCACGAACAATACCATTTTCCAACTCAAGGTGACGCAATTAAGGACAAAAATTTATTTTTTCCAGAAGGTGTGGAAATTTACAATGAAATTCGAGAAATATCATTGTTTTTTTCTAATTTAAGAAACAGTTATCACATTCAAAGCACTTAACACTATTAGATTTAATTATCTGATAATAATGTAAAAGATAAGTGTTAATCGGTTATTTTCAATCGTAACTTTTCCGTCCAACAATACGTCATTGGATGTTTAGAAAGTTACCAGTTGTAGCCGGTTTTATTATTTTATAGTTCAATTGTTACAACTTTATATACCACAATTCGCCAATAAACAAATTACTCATAAAAGAAATATTTTTATTATCTGCCTACAGTCCACGAACCACTCTGTATATTACATGATAATCGTTATTTTTAAAAACGATAAGTGTTTTTAATGACCCTAAAAATAACCGGCAATAAAACCTAGTCTTATATGCCAAAAATCCACGGAAAAATTTCCAAGCGACCAAAATAAAATCAAATCTGGTTAAAACCGGAGTTTCATAAAGTGTAAAGAAAACAAAGTGGAATAAAGTCTTATTTCATTCCAAACTTAATGTCAAACCAAGTCAATTATTTGAGACTTAACTTTATCAGTTGCTTACAGAAGCATTGAGGGCAAAGAAGCCACGCAAGTTTAAGCCAATTAAAGTTTGCCGAGTGTGACAACTGAAAAGCTGTTGGATTGAGATGTTTTCAGCGTCGCATATTTGCGAGTTCATTATGAAAAGCATTCATTTACACAACAAAAACTACCTATAATTAGATTCTATTCATTATTATTTTGACTGAAACACACTGAAGCAACTTGTTGTGCTTCTTTCCGGAAATTTATTTAATTTGATAAAAGATTGAGTCGCATTTTACACCCCCAAAGATACAAAATGCGCAAGACGGACCCAATAAACAGCGCGAAGATGCAGTCGGGGTTTGTTTGCTAAAGGGTGAATCTATCAAGTGGTTAAAATATGTGAAAAATGGGAACTGAAAAATTACACGAGTATGAGGGTGTCTTAGGCCGACTACACACCCTCAGAGACAACATCAAAGACAGGTGGAACACCTGGAAAGAAGAGAGTCCAGGTAGATTATCCTCTCTTTTACTAAGACGTGAAAAAACACCCCCAGGAGTCATCTACGAAGACTATTCTCATATCTACAGGTAAAACCGTTTAGTTTTGAATAATTCAAACAGATTTATTTCAGACGAAAAACCCGGACTGAATTGATACGTATTTCAGCAGCTGTAATGGGAATTGAATTCTCATATTCAGCGGAAACAGCTTTCGTATCGCCTACATTATTGAAAATCGGTGTTGAGCACAAACATATGACCCTAGTCTGGGCTTTATCTCCCCTTATTGGATTCTTCCTAACTCCAATTTTAGGATCATTGAGTGATCGATGCCATTTAAATGCCGGACGACGAAGACCTTTTATTTTTGTGATGTCTGTTGGAGTTTTATTGGGCCTTTTGTTGGTCCCCAATGGAGAACTATTGGGCTATGTAGCAGGTGACCCTAATCCTTCAGATCCTCAATACAATAATTCGCACCCTTGGGGAGTGTTTTTCACGGTTTTGGGAACGGTCCTCCTGGATTTTGATGCCGATGCGTGCCAAAGCCCAGCAAGGGCATATTTGTTAGACGTTACCATTCCTGGTATGATTTACAAGACGACAAAACCCATATAAATAGTGATTTTAGATGACCATGCCCGTGGTTTGAGTACTTTTACTGTGATGGCAGGACTAGGGGGATTTTTAGGATACGCTCTAGGAGGGATAAACTGGGATGCGACTCTTATAGGTAGGTACCACCAAAGGTTTGAATCAATTTTTTCGACAAAATTCTTCCAGGCAGATTACTAGGAGGTCATGTTCGGGCTGTTTTCACTCTAACAACTCTAATTTTCGTCGTGTGTGTGTCTTACACTATCACTAGTTTTAAGGAAATGCCTTTGAGACTCCTTGAATTGAAAGGAACTTTAGAAGAGGCAGATGAAATCAAAAAAACCGGGTCCAATTATGGTAGTTTAGAAGTAGACGATGAACAAGTCTGTAAGCTCAATTTTTAACAAATATTAACCATTTTTTTCAGGAAAATTCTACTCAATACATTTCGATCAATAGCGATCAACCAAAATCGAGGAAAAGTATAGTCCCGGCACCTAATGCATCTTTACTTATTTACCTCAAAAGTATTATCTATATGCCTAAATCACTGAAAATCTTGTGTTTGACGAACCTTTTCTGTTGGATGGCTCACGTCTGCTACTCTCTTTATTTCACAGATTTTGTCGGCGAGGCTGTCTTTGGAGGAAATCCAACTGTTAATAAGTCTCAAAATTTTGTAATTCCGTACCAACGTATGATTTTTAGGGCCTTGATAGTGACCCCAATCGTGAGTTATACGAAAGTGGAGTCCGATTTGGTTGTTGGGGAATGTCAATGTATTCCTTATCTTGCGCTTGCTACTCTTTGATAATCGAAAAATTGATTAAAAATTTTGGTGCCAGAAAAGTCTACGTTGGGGGTCTATTGGTTTATTCAAGTGGAATGTTTTTGATGGCTTTGACTAAACATAAAGTTGGGGTTATTATATTTAGTTGGACTGCTGGTGTTATGTACTCGACTCTTTTCACCATGCCATATCTCCTAGTTGCTCACTACCACGCCAAAGGAACGGTACTTTATCCACAATCAAAAAAAAAAATGTTAAATAATTTTTCCAGTTTGAGAAAGTTGAAGAAGGGAAAGAAATTACTCAACAGATCCGAGGCCTCGGAACCGACGTTGCCATAGTCTCAAGCATGGTTTTCCTCGCTCAATTTATCTTATCAATGTGTATGGGTTATATTGTCAATGCAGTGGGGACCACCACCGCTGTGGTCGTCGTTGCAAGCAGCCTGGCTTTTTGTGGGGCTATAACTGCAACCCAAGTCGTCTATTTGGACCTTTAAGTTATTTTTAACAAAAAAAAATGCATGTTTGGTGTCCTCGTCACATTTTGGCAAATATTCGTGTTTTGATGTGTCCAATAGACGTGACTTTGAAAAGGCAAATAAAATATGAATGTTGTAAAAATGTAAAATTGTTTTATTACCTCAAACCATTAAAAAACTTTTTATGAGCTCTGAATTTATTTTTTGATTTTTATTATTTTACGTGATACAAAAATAAGTCTAGTGACGGAAGCCAATGTCAGTGCCAGCTAATTTTAACTAATTAATAATCGAAAATGTTTAACAATGATTCACGTCGGATACCTGTGAAATTCTTATAACTGATTTGGCAACGAACAATTTGCGTAAATAATTCAGAAAATAAAATTAAATTGTTTGTTTTTCACTGTAAAATGAGTTGGAATTTTCACAAGAACCGACTCAAAAGCTACTTACATGACTTAATAGAACTGATTTTTAGTCACTAATACCTTTTTTGCTAAAAATTGATCAGCTTAATTCGTTTATGCAAAGTGTTTGAAAGCTTCCGCGAGACATACTAGAATTTTTATAAATCGACTAAATGGCAGCTAGCCAGTGCTTTCTTCTTGGCTAAATTCGTACTTTGATCTAGGTTCGTTCTCAAAACCTATTTGGTCTCTTACTTCGTCACAAACAATAGCTTCTTGTTATTATGAAGCGTTAAATGCGTGTTAAAATTGTTTTCTTAGACACGTTACCTAACAATGTCATCTGTTCTAAGTCTCTCCAGTTCTGACAACACTGATGTCTTCGGCTGCCACTCACAAACTACCCGAGTGAATATCCAAGTCAAAGAAAAAATATTTCAAAAATACATAACATTTGTGGAAATTAACTGTCCACATGGGTCATAACCTCATAGATTTATGGCCGCATTTGCGGATAGAAAAGCGTCTGAGAAGCAAAAAAACAGACATAAAAATATAAATAAGTATAAGAAAAATACGGTTTCCAATTGTTTTTACTTATCCTCAATGACGCGTAGGATGGTAACTGATCCTCCGCTGTACCTAAATCCAGATTTTTAAATTTAAAGTTTTTCACGACCTTCGCACAACAATAAAAGTTTTATTATGTCGATTTGCGTCTGATAACTAAATTAAATTAATGAAATCACGCAAACGGTTGACACAGCTGGTCAATCAGCGATAAGAAAAAAACCGCTATCGTCTCCAAACTTACATTTTGCCAATGATTTGGCGGTTTTTTGACCCTGTTTTGCAAACATAATTTGGCGCGACGGCGTGTATAAATATTGGCAATTCTTTGCAAAACTACAACAGTCAAAAATGTTGCTTACATGCTTTTTTAACTCACTCTCACCATCTTCTCCAAAGTCGTCATCCACGGGGGGATAAATCTGTATATCGAAGAGAATGTCACTACCGGCCCATATCACTCGTGCTGTGTTGCCTTTGCCACCATGTTTAGCCATAACTCCATAGAAACTTTGTGTCTGTCACTAAAGATACTAACACTTGAACTTGCCAACAAATTCAATTCAAAAATAATTGCATCATAAGATTCTTTCTAAATACTTCGTGCACGTGTTTGGCTGCCATCTAATGAACACTGGTTTTTTCCATTTGCCACAAGCTTTATTGCTTGGCGTAAAAATAAATGTCGCGAAAAATAAAACAAACCAACGGGAATACAGACACTAGTTTATTAATTTTATCAATCACAATACAGAGACACCAAAATTCGGAATGGACGGATCAATCTAACACAACTATATATATGCTGCGCCAAACATTTATTACTAACTGGTAGTTAAATTTATCGTTTGCAAATAATAATAAGTTCCTTTGATAAAAGCTATAAATTTTATCAGGCGGCCTTCAAACCCTTAAATTATTTAGACACTTGTCAAGAATGTCCTTTTTGATTTTAGCATAATCAGGGCTCAGTTTAAGCACCTGTTGTCCAACATCGATCGCATCAGCGTAATTCTTACTTTTCATCAGACTATAAGCCAACTTATACCCAATCCCGACATTTGTCTTCCCCCCAAACCTCCAGGCGGCTTCATAATTAACAACAGCATCTTTAAAATGCTGCTCTTTCTCACAAATAAATCCCAGAAATTCATGCGCTTTACTACATGCCTTATTATGTTGAACAACTTTAGTCAGCAAATCATTCGCAACATCGTATTTCGACGACTGAATGTAATAATCAGCGAGTAACAACCAACATCGTTCCAAATACTCCGCATCTTCAAAAGTCCAAGTGGCTTTCGCAACTCTTTTCAATTGATTCTTCGCCCGCTGCGTTTGTTTCAGCAAGCTATAAGCCGTAGCCATACCCAAAATCGGTCCCACATGATCCTTGTACACATTCTGGGACCCCAAAGAAATAAAATCTTCAAGTCCTTTCTCAATATTGTACTTATCTTGAGTCGCCAATAAGCGGAAGTTGACCAAAAGTCTATATCGCAACATATCGTCACCGTTAGCTTCAAGACGGTGTTTCAGTTCTCTTAAAAGCCGTTCCGCAGTTTTCAAAGCCATACTTCGAGAATCCCGATACTCGATATCTTCATAATCGACAAACTGGTCACCAAGCATTTCATCGTCGGGGTTTAGACAAATTTCAATCATGTTGTATAAGGCTTGTTTTCCCCATGTTGGGTCTTGACGAGATAAATTAAAGTTTCTTAAAGCACCATTAAGATTACCGGAGTACCATTGATACAAGGCGGTACAAAAAAGAAAACCGGAGTCTTTAACCGGATTTTCTGTATTTTTTTCAGCATTTGTTAAATATTCAGAAAAGTCGTTTAGGTTTCCTGTACGTCGCATAATTTCGACTAAACGCACCAAGGCGGTCCAATTGGTTGGTTGTTTTGAAATCAATTGCGTGAAGTGAAAAAGAGCCATATCGAAATCAATCTAAAGAAAATTCTTACTCTATGTAAACAACATGAATATAACATCACACTTACCTTTCTAAAGGCTATATCAGCCATCATGACTGATGCATTCTCATTTTCTGTATCTAGAGATAGAATATTAGTACATATTTGCTGACACGAGTCCAGGACATTCATCTAAAAGCAAACCTTGTAACTAGACAAAAACAACTTTTCGACTATCACCTGCATGTATAATTTTGCCAAAGCTGTCAAAATTTCAGTATTACTCGGCGAAATCTCAAGAGCATCCTTGTAAAATTGTACAGCTTTATCGTTGTCTTTTAAAGTAGCAGCGATTTCGGCCAATTTTACCCCTATATCGATCAGAAGCTTTATTTCGTCTTCTAGGACGTCTACAAAAAAACACCATTATGTACTCCCCGTATTGATCAAAAAACATACTTGTTTGTTCCACAGCTAAGCGTTTCCTAACTCGATTTTGATTTTCCTTGGCTTCTGTAAGAACAGTCAAAGCTCCTGGTAAATTCCCTGATTTTTCCCGAGCTTGTGCTAATAGCATCAACAACTTAGTTTTGTACTGTAGCTGAGTTAAGTCTTCTAATGATTTATCGTTTTTAAGCTCACTCGAGAGTAAAGATTCAGCTTTTTCATATTCTTTCATTGATATGTAAAGATCGCCCAATTGAAGCCTCAACTCAGGATCTTGAATCGTATTAATTGCCTCTTTGTAGAAAGCCACAGCTCGGGCAAAATAATGCGTCTTGACTAAAGCTTGACCCATCTTTAATGTAAGATAAGGATCTTTAGGATTTTGTTGAAGCCCCTGATTATAGCATTCAAGAGCGTCGTCTGGTTCTAGGATAGTCATATATGCGTCTCCCAAAAGAAGATAACTCTCGGGCCCGGGATTTTCATCTACCATGTCTTGGTAACACTGCAAATATGCATAAGAATCTAGTCGATACTTCAGCAAAATATCAGCTAGTTTGGTCCTCGCTTGCAAGTAGTAACTTTCATTAGGTTTCACCTTGTTCAACAAATCTATAGCCCCCTGGACGTTTTTTCTCTTAACAGCGTGATCAGCACTTAAAATTAAAATTCGTGACTCTTCTGGTGTCCCTTGAAATTCTTCGACTGCACTCTCAAGCAGTTTTGCAGCTTCGTCATTTTGACCAATCATGTTATGTGCTTCGATTAACTCAATGTAAATAGACGCTCGCTCAATAAGTGTTAAGTCACTCTGATCTTTAGAGTTGTAAGTAGTGATTTCTGGATTAATATTAATCAATGTTAAAGCCGTAGTTAAAGATTTAATAGTGTCAGAGATATTATTCAGATTTTTGTCAACTAATCCTCGAATATAATGAAACATCGGGTTTTCCCGAACCTTGAAATTGTAACTCAAACCAACTTCAAGACTTTGAGCCGCTCTCTCATAGTAACCATTCTGTACTTGGATTTGAGCCATCAAGAGATGGGCATCGCTTGAAGACTCGTCTTCTACTTTCGATAAAATCTGCTCGAGAGTGGTCATAGCATTAGTAGTGTCTCCAGTCAAGTACTGAAGCTTCGCCAACAAATACGAAGCTTCATAAAGACCAGGACATGCTTTTGTTACCACTTTTAAGGCATTTAGAGCCGTGTTGGCGGCACTTGAAGTTACCCGAACTCCTCCTTTAGTATTACAATCACTAGTGTATGAAATATATTGGAGATATTCCTTCACAACATCCAACATAAAATCAGGGTCTAGTAACAACAGGTACGAATCGGAATAATACTGGTGTTTGACGAGATTCAACTGGAGATCATTTGCTTTTTTCAAAAAGATCAAAGCTTCGTCGGAGTTATCAGAAATTTTAGCTCGGATTAAATAAAGTTGAGCCGAATTTTGGGAATTCTCCAATTCAAGCAAAAAGTCGACTTGTTTTTTCATCTGATCGGATTTACCGTTTTCGGAAAGTTCACATAGTGTGAGACCCATCAAAGCTTTCAGCGATGTTTCGTCCAGTTTTGTTGCCGTTTTGTAATACTTTTGGGCTTCTTTGATCCGACCTAGAAGCAGACACTGGTGACCCAACTCAACAATAAACTCCACATCATCAGAATTTATCTGAACCGCTCTTTCGACCATTTTTTGTGTCTCTTTGAGAACGTCAACATGTCGGCCACATATCCTCGAGTATAATTTTGCATTTTCGATGAGAATTTTCCCGTTTTTGGGTTCTTGTATATCAACTTCGTGAAAATATCTCTTAATGCAAACAATAGCCTCGTCGTAGTTAGCATCACGGCTTAATAAAATCAAAATATTGATTTTTTGGGCATCAAGATTATCGATTTTGTCGTTAATGATCCTGTTCATCGTTTCAACAGTTGGTTCCCAGTCTTGGAATGCAAACTGTATCTTCATTTTTTGAATTAAAGGTAAAATAGAGTTGGGATATCGAACTATTGCTTTATTTACCGCTTCTAGAGCTTCCTCAAACTTATTCTGAGTTAGATAACTTTCGGAGACGCCCAAAATGGCGTCTAAGTTACGTTTGTTGTCTTTTAAAGCTTGTTCAAATATTTCTGTAATGTTTTGTGAGACTCTGTGTCCCAGTTTTTTCAAATACAGCAAAACCCAGCCCTTTAATGCCAAAGCTTCGACTAAATCTGACTGAATATTGAGAGACTTGTCGATATAGTCAAGAGCTTTCTCCGGTTTGTTTAAAGCAAACAAAACAAAGCCGGAATAGCAAAAATCGATCGCTTCAGCCGATTTTCGGTAGTCACGAACTTGGGAATCCAAATTATGAAATAATTCTTTATTAGAGACACCCAGAAGTTTATTAGAGTACATTAACCCGATTGTAGCCGAGAGTTTTACAGTATTTTCATTCTTTATAGTATCAAACTCGTTTATACTTTCTTCTAAACGATTATTTAACAATAAAGCAAGTGCTTGATATAATCGGTAGGAACTTTCAGTTTTAAATTTTGTCGTGCCCTCTTTACACGCAGCTATCATTAAACTGTAGTATTTTTCACGAAAATAAAAAAATACTTTTGATCTGTAATCGCTTTGATCTTCCATTTTTAATATTAAAAGTCAACGTAGTAAAAAATATTTATTTTTCGTTTCTTATTCGTCTACTACAAAATCCTTGTACTTATCTATGTTCCGTGAATAAACTTTGTATAAAAATTCACAGGTCAATCTCATCTTCTTGTTGTTCTCAATCAGGTGGTCAAAAATTCGCTGAAAAAGCGCCAAATTTAAATTCAGCCGTCCACCAACCAAACAAAAACAAAATAACCAAATGTTAAAATATGTTACAATAGAATATTATCAAATATTGTCAGCAACATTAGCAATTTTGGTTATTTATTACAATAGTAGTAAACGTGCGATTAAAAAACATAACTACCTCAGCAAAAACAGTGCCTAAACCTTGACCCTGCAATCCATCAGGAATATTTGTATGGATTAAATCATAAAAATCATCATGTCTTTCATATTTAACAGTAGCAATGTGTGAATCAAAGTCAATGTATAAAACGCTTTGGTTATCATGCACTTTGCTTGTTTTTAATAATCTAATTAAATGTGAAATTCTACCGGAAGCCATTTGTGCCAGAGTGGGAGATAGAAACTAAAAGAAGTGCTACAGAGATTCAGAATTTTATTATGTTTCACTTACATTTGAAAAACACAGTCTTTAGATAGAGAAAAACCAAAAAATTGATTATTTGTTCCGGTTATTTCAATTACAACAAAAATGACAAGTGTCAAATCTTCGAGTTGGCTGTCCTGATGAAACGATGAAACTACTACATTTTTCGCATAAACAAAAAAAATTAAACAATGGGTTTTGGTGCTAAAAGTTTATTTATATATTTTTCTATTGTAATAATTCTTATTAAAATGTTGTTTTTCAAAGTATTTTCAAATTTGTTCTTTGTTTCTCTTAAACAATCACTAACTGTTTAACCAACCACACGACAAAAAGTCCCTATATTTTTTAAATCAATGTCACTATTTAATCTTTCTTATTTACTCAATTTATCACTTAATAATTATACTTTTAGCAAATGTCGTCCATTGAACCAATTGTTCTAGTCCATGGGGGCGCAGGAACTATCAGCAGCGACGAGAAAGCCACGCAGTTGGTCGAAGGGGTGAAAAAAGCGGCTCGTGCCGGCTACGAAGTCCTAAAATCCGGAGGCAGTGTCTTAGATGCTGTTCAAAAAGCCGTCGAACTAATGGAAAACAACGCAATATTCAACGCTGGTCTCGGCTCAGTCCTTAACGTCGAAGGCGAGGTGGAAATGGACGCTAGTATCATGCTGGGGGCTGATTTAAGCGCAGGAGCGGTGACTGTAGTCAAAGACATCAAAAACCCTATTGCTTTAGCAAGACTCGTCATGGAGAAAAGCGATCACGTGCTACTAGCCAGCGAGGGGGCTAAAAAATTTGCTATAAACCACGGGATAGTTCCCCTAGCTTCTGGTTCTCTGGTCACGGATGCCACAAGAGAAGCCCTTGCTAAATGGAAGGCTAAACAAACTAAGGCTTCAGCTGAATTGGGCACCGTGGGGGCTGTGGCTATTGATGCCCATGGGCGACTCGCAGCTGCCACTTCCACCGGAGGGAGAGAAGGGAAGTTAGCAGGGAGGTCAAGTGATACTTGTATGATTGGGAGCGGGACTTATGCAGATGATGGGATTGGGGCTGTATCAACAACGGGACATGGGGAGACCATTGCCAAGTTCTGTTTGGCGCATTCTATTGTAAAATCTATGGAAAATGGGCAAAAAGCTGATGAGGCTACCAAGGGTTGCATTGACAAAATGACCAAAAAATTGAATAACACTGCGGGGGCTATAACACTGTCCTGTCGAGGTGAAGTGGGGGTTGGGTTCAGCACTAATAGAATGTCATGGGCGTATCAGAAAGGAGATGAACTGCATTTTGGGGTAGACCAAAACCAACACGAGTTTGAAAAAATATAAAATTTAATTAAATGGAATGTGCCGCCACCTAATTCAAGTCAAACTTAATTGAAAAATAACATAAATTTGCCCAAACCCTCTCTCAACTCTTCAGATGTGTTGTTTTTAATAATCAAATCCCAATCATTGAAATCGTCTAAATCGCACTCAGACGTAACATTATCAACTCCTGAAAAAAATACTTAAGCGTCACTGGTCTGGTGTTTTATTTCTGTAATACCCTCAGTAAAAATCCATCCCCTTTTTTGCCTAGTCATTTCGTCAGCTTCAACTCGAATTAATTTAATAATCTTATCTTTGTACGTGTTTTTGAACCACTGAATATCAGTTTTACGTCTTATGTCGCTAACAATCCAAAACGGTCTCGATTCGGCTACAATTTCGTTTTCGTATATAAAAAAAATGAAAGATATGTGAGTACCCATTTTTGTAGCAGCTTTGCAGAAAAACCCAGGGTCTTTTACTCTAATTTCATCACTCCATTGAATCATTTCAGCGCGAAATTTTTCTTTTAACGGACCATCAGTCATCATTTCATTTACATCATCAGTAGTTAAGTTATGGCTTTCAGCATACAATCGTTTCAGTGGCCCTGAAATTCGAATAATTGTGTAATTCTCCTCCCCTAGTCTGAAACAATCCCAGGTAAAAAAAACTCCATTTCCTTTGTTTTAACAATACTTTTCTTTTAATGTTTCACAAATGTAATCTTTCCCCGACTTTCTTTTCCCACTAAACAATAAAATGAGTCGAGGGTTTTCCATTTCGACTTATAGTGAAAAAGTTGGGTTATGTCGGTTACATTGGTTTAATAATAAAAACGAAACAGCACAAAAACGACCATATTCATTAATTAAGTACAATGATGCCTCGTTACACCTTTTTTCGAGGCAAATTTCCGTCCGCACTTATCACACTTGAACCAAACTCTCTCCCCATGAGTCGCTAAATGTTCCTTCAACCCATCTGACCTAATGAACGCCTTTTCGCACAAATGACACGCGTAGGGCCTCACCCCCGTATGACACCTAACATGCACCGTCAACATATATCTATCAACAAATTTCTTATCGCAATATGTGCACTTGTGTTTCTTTTCTTTACTGTGGACCCGCCTGATATGATCGTTTAAATTCCGGTTACTTTTGAATATTTTCGAGCAGACTTCACACACGCATATTTCTCGGGCGTGTGTGGACATGTGGACATACACAGCGGACGCAGTCCTACCCTTGTAATTACACAATTTACATTCATAGAGACGCTCATCACTGTGTGACTTCAAATGGACAGTCATTGCAGTTTTAGAGGAGAACCGTTTTCCACAAGCTTCACAAATGTGGTCTTTTCGGTCCGTGTGGATTGTGATGATGTGTTGTTGGAGGGCTGCTCGAGAATTGAAGCAACTGTGACATTGAGAACACCTGGGAATCACAGAAATGACTTTTTGGTGGCAGAAATTGGGGGATTTACATGTGACGGTCGGTGTGTTTGATCAGGTGGAGTTTCATACTAGTTTTGAGGATCATTTTGCCGCATTTAGGGCAAGGGCGTTTGTGATTTTTGTCATGTTGAACCAAGTCTTGTCTAGTAGAAAAGACCTAGAAAGGGGTTTAAACAGCTTTTTGGAGCAATAGCGAAATTACCTCCGAGCATTTATCACACTTGAATACTGGGTGCCCATCATGGGCAGGCTGGTGGTCCAAATATTCCAAACAATTGGTAAATTTCTGTGAACATATTTCACAAATGTACACATTTTCAGGAATTTCAAAATTAATCTCATCCTGAAATCATATTGCGGCTTAGGTAGGTTTCACCGAGAAATTCGATTTTACTTCAAATTCCTGTTTTTCTTTTTCATGCTGAACAAGTAAGAAATATTTGAAATCTTGCAGACTACCATCGGAATCCTTTAAGAATTTAAATTTGTCTTTACAAGTACGCAGTCCTTGCCCCTTTTGTATCCAATTTAAAAGTATTTCATTGGCTTTTGCACAATTATCTCTGAAAACTGACCAATCATTGATTTTGTCTAGACAAGAATTGCATGCTGTTGTAGGCAATTCATCGTTATCTGTAATCTAAGAACTCATATGAGACTATTTACCTTTCATATTCTTATTTTACCTCAATTGAAACATAGTGTTTAATTTTTTCCATTACATCTTTATTACTTAACACCGAAATCAAATTTTCCGGTTCCTCCTGTAAACATAACCTGCAGACTTGCATTATGTAGAAATTCTTCGAAAATTGATTAAACTTGTGCCGAAACCTGAAAATTATTACACAAAAAATGGGGTTAAGAGTGGTCAAGTTGGGGATTTTCTATTTTCAGATTTGGGGTTGGTGGACATGCAAATTTCCAAAGTGGCACCATTGCCCAGTGTGAAAATTAAAAAAAATATTTAAATGTATTTTTTCATTTCATACCTTTGCACCAATAAAAACTTTATTACGATTTATTGTGGTAATTTCAAATATCATAATAAAGTAATAACATTATAACAGAATTGACTATTGGCACTTAAAATAAAAGTTGATTATCATGAAAGTAAACAAATTATGATAATCAAAGTACTACGAGAAAGTATAAAGGAGTGTTAAATGCATTAATTGCCCCATTGTTATCAAAATCGTTCACTTTTTCAGTATGACGAGTATCCACGCTGGTGCAATTAGCGAAGTCCACGAAATGCCGATGTCTGCGATAATAAGACCGTTTCAGTCTCAACTCGAAGAAGACAAAGTGAGTTCATTGATGAACACACTATCGAACCCGAGTAAAAAAAGCGAAGTTCCACCGATCGATGTGTTATGGATCACTGGACGTGAAGGTGGGAATTATTTTTACAGTTTTGGGGGCTGTCATCGATATGAAGCGCATAAAAGACTGAATTTGGATACGATTAAAGTCAAGTTAGTTAAGTCGAATATTCAAGATTTGAAATGTTATTTAGGTGGCAGTATGCCCGATTTGAAATAAACAAATGTTGTTTACTTCTTGGTTTTATTTACATTGATTTGAAATTCAAATTCCTGCCCAATGAACCGGTTAATAAAATGCAATACGAGTATTTGTGTTATTTCGTTTATGAAAGTCAAACATTTGAACATTCAGTGACATATGGTAAAATTAAGTGCTACATAAAATTTCTTTAATTAGTACGAAGTAATTCTTTTGTTATTTACCGCTAAATTATATCCAGCGTTTATACAAATCAAAAAAATCAGTCAAAGAAAAATACAAAAAAAGTGCAGTCACACAATCCTAAACTTATGTATAATAAAAATTTACAAAAAGTAAGGTACGGTTGTAGTTGTCATACAAGAAATGCAGAAAAATTAATTATTACATCTAAATAAAATCAATATGTACACAAAAAGCAAATTAAATTCCACCACCTCTAATTACTCTATTTGCATTGACGAGCTTAGTACAAACAGCCTCTATCTTAAAAAATCCTGAAACAATTTTATTTGAGACCACCATACAAATTATATCACAATTTCAATCAAAAATCCTAAGTTACAAATTTTTGGTTTTTTGAAACTTAACGTATATTATAAAAATCTTGATCACTGGACCTCACCGTTTTTTGTTTAATAAAATAAGGCTTGTAGGCTTTCCTCGCTGTATAATTCGACGCAGTTTCACTCGGTTTAGTCACACTTTCATTATTCTGATATGTTGCATTTCCGTGTTTTCGTAAATGTTGTGGGATAGACCCATACCTTATCTGTATTAATCTCGTATCCAAAACCTCGCAATCGATTTGCATCAAAGGTACCAAACTTGGTTGAGTCGTATTTTCTACAATATGAACCTAAGAAACGAAAAAAAAAATAATTTACCTACCACTGGGCAAAACTGAAGGCATTATAAGCGACATTTTCGGTCTCCTAGTCTTATTGTGGTGAAGAGCTGGCAACAACATGTGATGGTCGCTGAATGATACGACATAAAAAGTGTCATCCTGCCGATTTATCGCTTCAAAAAATTCGCTATAAAGTTGCTCAGGAGTTGGTGAAAAAACTTGAAGTTCTTTATTTGTCTCAACTGAGAGTTTTTTAGCGACACTTTGAGTGTCGTACATTGTCGAAATGAAAGGAGTTTCATATTTTTTTGCTTTCTTCTTACGCAAAGAACGCGATTTATTATTTGGGACACTTAATCGTGTCGCATTTGGTGAAACATTTTCATGGACTTCTTTTGGTTTTCCGATCCACCTAACAAAAAACTTATTGTAATGCCATTGTGAAAAAAACAATATTACCTTTCCAATTCTAACGCTAATCTCGCACTCTCGGTTTGGTTAATTGAAGCAGGGCACATGGAAAAAGGTGAAAAGCTTGAGCTGTTTTTCTCTTCTACGCCAGGAGCCCACAGTAACTTTCTCCCATGATTGTCTAAAACTTTGGGTGAATTGTCTTTAATCAAATTTGCTTGGTTTTTGGCAAAAAATGGGTTTCTGGAATAATAAATTTAAAACAATTCTCACGACAACGACAACGCTCTCAAACCTGACGTAATCCAAATTAAAGGCCACGGAAAATAGGAACATGCACAAAACAATGCTTGTTTTTATATTGCTGTTTTGTGACGGTTTGCTTTCGTATTTTTTCAAGCGCTCTTTTAATTGTTGGTTTTCCTAAAAATCAAAAGTAGGCAAAAACTCGCTAGTTGTTGCAACATTTACCAATTTGAGTTGCTGGTTTTCCGTTGTTAATTCTTTGACTTGATTTTCCAGTGATGTTAAGTAATCTTTTTTCTTTTTTCGTGACAAGCAAGCCGATTCGCGATTTTTGATTTTGCGTTGGTGCCTCTTTAGAATTTTTGGGTCGATATTTGAAACATTTAATGCTAAATTATTACTTCCTTTCAGAATAACAGGCGGAACTGTGCAATTATTTATAACAGGATTGCTCAAAGTTGTTGGCGTTAATTGAGCAACTGTAGTAATAGGAACAGTGGCGATATTTTCCAAAACAACGACTTTTGGCGGTGGCGGGCTCACAGTGGGGGCACTTCTTTTAAAATCGGCATTTTTCAACACGACTACTTTGCTTTTTGCTGTTAGTTTGGGTTGGATCGGAACTCGTTTGGTAACTGCTTTGCTATTGGGTGATAATTTCAAAGAATTTTGTATTGTTTGGACAACAATGTTTGAGTCAAATTCTGCATTAGGTGACTGAGGTTCGTTTTTTAGTTCGTCTTTAATTTCGAAAAATCTCACACCGTCATCAGGTGATTGCACCGGCGAATTTGATTTATTTGAACTTGATGAACTGCAACTGTCAGGTTCAACTTTGACTTCTGAGCATAAATTGGAGTAGGACTCGGAGTCCCACTTGGTGGCGTCGCTGATATCGTCGCTGGGCGATGAAGGAAGGGCGATTTCCGACATTATCTCTTCAGGAGTCTTGTCAAAAAAAGAATTTAGTAAACTCAATTCATCTTCTCCGGGATTTAGTAGAAGAGGTATGTCTAAGTCTGATGATAATTGCTGAAGAAAATCTTCATCGGACGGAAGATCGGTGCAGTCTGGTAAAAGCATGATTTTTAAAATAATGCGAAGTTTTCGAGGGGCGGAATACCTGTGTAACAAGAGTTGCCACTGCACGATTCAGGGGAACTTTTAAACACATAATCGTCTAAATTTAAGCACTCATTTGTTGTCAACATATCTATTCCTTCTACAAAAAATAATTATGATGTGTATTTATTAAATGCCGAACAGACACATAACCACACATTTATTAATTGCTGACGTCGATTTAGGGATTATATTATTGTCACCAAAATTTAAGCGCGGTAAAATTTGAACGTAACTTATTTTTTTAACAATGGAGAGATTAATAAAAAGACTATCAATGGTCCAAGTGTATTTATTTTCTTACTATTTTACATAAATATTTGTTAAAGAACACCTAATAATAATTAAACTTAATTATGTTAAAAACCATTGTCCATTACCATAAGCACTACCAAAATGTATTAAAAATTAGTTATAAAACTTGAGATCTGGGTAAATCATGACATGAAATTTAGACATTAAGTACCTAACGCAAACTAAGAATGAAATCAGAACTTTTTCATCATCGTTGTTATACAAATGAAGTTTGACTTTTGAAAAATGTCTGCAAGAGTTTTTTGATGAAACACCGAAAAGCGAAAAATGTTTAGGCCTTTTTTTCATTAAAGAACATTGCTAAACAATTACTACAACAATTAAGCGTAAAATAAAATAACTACAATAGAAATTTTGAACAACGAAATCTGTAGGTTGTACAGAGTTTAATTACAGATTTCTTTGCATGATGACTATTGCTAATTTGAGGTTTTAATTTGCTAAAAAACGTAAACGGGCATTGAATCAGGATGAATTTTTATCCAAAAGACTTTTTACAAGCTATTGCTTATACGTTTTTTACTGTCCAAAATATGCTTTGTGTATAAAAATTTTTATTATTTCTTTTTGAAGTTTTCTAGAAAAGTAAGCGTTTGGAAGTTAAATTATTTTAACTGCATATACTTTTCATGGCGCAAGTACAAAATGACTATATTATTTTCCGTTAGCGTGTATAAATTTCAGCTTAAATGAGAATTAATAGAGAAATTTACAACTTTGTACAAAAGCAAATACAAATAAAAGGTATCATAAAATATTACAAGTAAAATTGAAGGATCTACTTAAAAAACCTAATAATATGCACAACCGAGCTCATTGATTAAAAGACGAGATTACAACTTATTTACAGTGGATGACGATGATTATATATCTACTTGATTTTTCGAAATAAAAAATATTTATTAGCCTACAATAGGAAAGATTTTAATCACAAAATATCACTGCAATAAAATATTTATTTATAACTACATGCCTCAATTTAAAATAAAATTGCAAACCCGAATCTTTCCTATTCGCACTAATAAATATTAAAACCGTTAAAACCAATTTTCAATAAACAGGACATAAAATTTTAAAATATACGTACTTCAGAAGTACTCGACATAAAGTACAAATCTCGATTAATTATGGTTACAACACAATAAGAATAATTTGTTTACATCTCTGAAGTATACTTCCACTCAAAATCGCTACCACATGATCAATATTTGCCGCTTATAAAACAAGAAATTAATTTCCCTTGATAAAAAACTTTTGAATCAGAACCGAGTATGATTGTGCAAAACATGCATCTAACAAAAAAAATAGATGTAAAAAATCACAGTAAATTCAATATACACTTATTATTATAGCGCGATGATTTCAGCATATAATGCACAGTCATATGCAAGATAAAAACTTATAATGTGCGTTGATACTAAAAGAGAACACTGTTTTAAAATTAGATGGTGTTTGGTGGTGTGGGACGATGCCGTCAGGTACCATTTCCGAAAGATAATATGAAGATGATGTACTGTCTGCATGATGTAACAGGTACAACAAATGCAAAGGCGACAATGGCTAATTACTACACTCCGCCGGTTGCTACCTATAATCGAAAAAAAAAACATACCAACATTTTCGAAAAAGATTTATTCATCATTAGGAGATAAATCACAATAAAGTCCACCATTTGTTGGCCAATAGATAGTCAATATCATTGCTAAAATTGCATCAAATAAATAAAAAAGTGAAGATTCTTACTCCATCATGATTAAACAGCTTGAGGCAAAATTTACTGTGCGATTGCAGTAAAATTTGCCTCATTTTAAATTTACAAAAACGTTCAATTTAGTCTTGACGAGAACTAAACCATTCCGTAATGCCCCCTGTATAAAAGCGATTAGAGCTAGCGCAAGTCAATTTAGACCCTTAACAAGGCAGAACATGTCGGTTAATTAGTTTCCGTTGTGTTTAATAATAGTTTGTATGTAAACTTTGTATACTTTTTATTATAAAGACGATAAAGACTTATATTTCACATCACAGCTTACTGGCACTAAAAAATTCCGTCGACGATTAATAAAGATCCTTGCGTCCTTTGACGTTTCCCGCGTATCCTTTAAGTCTGACGACAGTGTTTTGATTTGTAAAAATCGTAATTTATCGACTTACCTGTGACTGATAATGCCATTAATTGGTGCAGACACAGTCGGCACCATTTCAAGTTCAACGAGCAACGGAAAATGATCGGAGAATACGTGCGGATGTGGACAACCGATGACTTTATTTTGCGTCAACCATTCGGACGAAATAGGTCCCAACAAACCCAAAGGTGTCATTGTTTGTTTCGCGTAAAAAATATAATCGATAATGCCTTTAAAATCGAATCTGCAACGAGAAAAAATTCGACTCCAACGACTTTAGTAAAATTCGATTACTTACGTGTAATTTGTGAACGGCATTATCTCATCATTGTAGGCAGAAGCGAGCTTGAAGGAATGTGTAAATTCATTAGGTTTATCACAGCTCAAGACCTTCTCCAGGCATTGTTTATAACTAAAGTCTTTGAAATCTTTGTGATCTTGCGAAACCCTCCCCGTACTCAAGAATTCAATCACGCCCGAATCGGGTAACGAGTTGAAATCTCCACAAAGAACCAGCTGGATACTGTTCGGGTCTGCGTTCACGTTCTCCGACGCTCTCAATGTTTGAGCGGATTTGTCGAGTATACTTTTGAGCTCGTTGCTTAACATCATCGTTTGGATCAGTTTCACGTCGCAAAACTCAGGATCCCAGTGGATATGTGCTGTGCATACGAGGATCGGTTGTTGGATGAAAGGCGCATCGGCAGGAGCTGCAACAGTTACAACCGCCGATTAACAAACGAGTTCACAAAACGGAAAATACTGACTGTTTTCCCAGGCCGCTTCCGTCGTTTGCAAAAGCGCAGCTAAACCAATGTTGTCCTTCGGCATCACTCTGTTAAGCATGTGGTCCAATCCGTCCGCATTTGCCATCGCCAATTGATTAAATTCAACTAAGTGTTCTTTGATTAGAGTAAATCTATAAAATGCTTTTTTAACAATTTGTGAATCTTTTGCAAGTAACATACTTTGATGTTCGGTAGAAAATGGCGCAACCGTCGACGTATTTTCTCTCGCTTTCAGCCATATGCTTCGCTCGTGATTTTGGTGAATAAATACCCGCGTAGCCGTCTTGTTTAAGTTCGGGTAAAAAATAATTATAAAACTGCTCCATTTCGACTTCCTGTAAATTGATGATGTCGGCGCTATAATGTCGTATTTCTTCTAGGATACCCTTTTTCCTATAATCCCAATTTAATGCCCAACTTGGACAATAACTGTACATTTGTCGTGTTGCGTATTTATCACATAAAACATTATAACACATCACAGTGAAAATACCTAAAAGAAGGGCTGGAGTCTCGGGAGAAGATTTTTTTCTACGACTTACATGTCGGTCGACTTGAAGATGGCCGTGCCAAAGGGATCCAAGGCCGAGGAGGTGGTGTAGGAGTCGTTACTGAAATTTTATGCAAAATTAATATTCCGAAAAACACACAATAAAAATTGATTCATTGGATATCTAGTTAACCTTCGTCACGTGTGGTATTTTTCAGGTTAACCCTAGAACCGCAAAGATTTTACAACGCCTAATTTAATAAATAAACGGTTCACTGAATCTAAATGAGCTTTTAAATATTAAAAAATTAAGCATGAAAATTTTGTTCCACTATTCCACCGAGCATTGGCTTCTGTATTACGCAAACGGCTTTTAGATCAATGTTACGTTACGTAAGAAAAGAAAAGGTTGAATTGAGCGAAACTTGCGGGATGTATGGAATGTTTGTTTAATTGTACGTACATTAAAATTACAATTCGTTTCATTTCCCTCGTGAGCATCTGTAAGTACAGATGTGTAAAGTCTTTTGTCTTGTAGAAAGTGAAATTGAGAAGACGTCCGAAGACTATCATTATGAAACGAAAAACTCCGACTTTCTCACTAAAACGACTATAATTATCGGATAACAAAAGTAAGCTTGTGAAGGTTATGACAGAATTTGAAATTTTCTTCGTTCCAGTTGGAAATCGTTCCGTCACGCATTGACGGCTTTTCAGGCTGAAAATCCTCGCCTTTTTTCGAAACATATATTTGAGGAAGTCGTCTAATGGCTAACGACCGCCATTAGTCTTGTTTTTAATATTAGAAAATGGGTCGTTAGGTAAAAAGATTAGGTCGAGATTCTCATATTTACTACGGTGTTTTTTCGTCGTTCTCACAGTCTCGCACGTCTGGAAATTTTCAAACAAAGGCTTTATTCAACGCTTCACGAAACATAAAGTAACGAGGCGCGAGAAGACCATTTTTGGTGTGTCCTTTGATTTTTTCTGACCCAAATGGGAGTCCACCTTATAAAGTGACTTTCACATAAACGATTTTTGAGCGAAAATGGATGAAATATGGAGGTGATGCGACCACTTTTTCGCTTTGATGATCTCATGGGAATTAAGCTTAACTTTCACCTGTGTAAAGACAGTTGGGTTCCTCTCGCAGGAAACTAATTAAAGTAATTACGACAATCAAACGTTTCACCCGTAACAGCAACTTTCTGGAATCACCAGAAAAATATTAATCAATATCATCCATCAATTTTTATTAATATTCATTGAATAAAATAGTATCATCTGTTCGCACTCCGTTGTTATTTATTTCAACCTTGAATTCCTTTATGTTTATGTATAAGGTACACATAAAAGGATGAAATTATTCTGAGAAATATTTAACTTCGATTCCAATTTGCAATTTTGTATACGACGCTTGTCTGAAAATTACACTTGTTACTACCACAACAATAATTTATAAATAAAACAAGAACTCAAAATTATGCAGCGAGTCGTTCTTGGTATTACATAAATTCAATACGACATAGGTGCTCATTTCGTGTTTTTAAATCTTTTTTTTTTCGACGTCGAACATGTCAAGAAATGGGTTGGACCAAGAGGCATTATATGCAGATGAGAATGGAGAATGACTCTGCAACGTGATTTTCAAAAGAATCTCGTTAGGTGCTCCATGGAAAGTAACAAGCAAAAAAGCTGTTTTGTTTTCCTTCATTTTTAAAATTTCCATTCATATCAGTACCACACACGCAGAAAATAATGAGACGAGTTCTAACAAGGCTTGATTGCACAATTAGTACAAAAATTGTCACGTCTGCGCTTCCAAAAAAAGCAATCAAAACCTTGACAATTAATTTACGTGGTAGGCGATAGGTTCAAGAGGTTGCCAAAAATTCGTCTTGGTAAATCCGTTAAAAGATCCACTTATGGATGCTGGCACAGTTCCCACTCTATTGATCTACCGTTCCTTTCTCTATTCAAAATTATGAATCAATTATTTATAAAAAAAAAAGGTACAAGAAAACGGCTTAGTTGAATATATTTTTCCTTTAATTAAATCCAAGACCCACAAAGTGTCTCTAATTACAATACAATCGGGGCATATATAATATGTCAAACTTTCTCCACGTTTGAACAAGAAGAAACAACATCAATATTCATGGTACCTCTTTATTTGGGTTAGAACATACCTAGATACAAAAAGGAAAGTGTCTTATGTTAAAGCGCCGCAAACCGATTTATTCAAGTGAAGGATTCAGCCAAGCATTTGACCTTGTTTTCGGACACTTGATGACTAGCACAATAAGAATTATAGAGTAAAAGACACGAAACGCGGAAGCGCATTGAGACAAGGCAACAAATTGATTTCTATCAATAGGGAAAATCCCGTGATACAATACTGTGAGACATAAAATTGACATAATTGCAAGTCGGGAGTATTCGTTTTATGGCGTTTTAAGCTATGAAAATTGCGTCAACTTTCTACATTCTGGGAGGTAATGTACCTTTAATGGTTTTATTATAATTATATTACAAGTGTAAGACCGACAGAGATAAAATCAATCAGTAATTATATTTGAGTGAGGATGTAATCATGATAAATCAGTATTTAGCTTTTTACGATAAAATTCCGCAAAAAAATAATTTTTACACGCATCAAGGAAACTCTTTTCCGTATTTTTAATGCATATCAAAGGAATTCGTCGACAGGTTTTTCATACCTTAACGAGAGCGAGGCATCCACGAGGTCGACTACATTCTACAATCTACACCATAAACAATGTGAATGTTCTAATAATCTAATGCAGGGTGTGGAATCTCTATGCAATTTTCATAAAATTCTAAATGAAAATTTTCACTCCTACTCATTATACAGGGTGTTTCACGTAATTTTACGAGGCCTGCTCCTGTAAGATGCAATCAATAATACATATTCCGATACGAACTCGATTACAAATTTTGAAAAACTGGATAATCTTCTCTAGTTTGTTCACCCTTCAAAAATTACAACGTTTTTAGTTAGTTAGTGATTAAGATAGATAAACTACAATCATATTCATGCCATCTCTTGATAGAACAAATAATAATTGTTTCTGAAAAACTGCAGTTTATGACTATTAATGAAACAGTGATTACTTTAACAACTACTGTCATGGGTTTCCAAAAATTAAATAATTAAATGTGTATTTTTTGTATCCAGTGTTCTGTGACTTTTGTATATTTGGGTGCGTAAATTAGGCGCAAGCCTCGTAAAGTTATGTGAAACACCCTGTAGATTCAACTGATAATTACCTTAAAACACTACTACAGATTCGAAAGTTATATTTCTTCTCGTTGCGTTTAATTAATCGCATAAAATCAAAAAAAAAATTATCCACGCAACAGCGCCTTTCAGCAAATCGATTAGTTTAAACTAGTGAGTTCAACCTTCAGGAAATTCGTGGAGAGAATATAACTATCCTGGACTGCATAATTATTAAACCCGCATTGGAAATCAGCATTATTAGAAATTACGTCCTCCAAGACATACAAAAAATTCGCATGGCTTTGGTTTCACTCAATTGTTCAAACTTCGAAAACAGAACACTTCAATTCCCAATACCAACAATGAAACAATGCACGCACTAACCCGAATCAGTTTTTTTTTTAATTAATTAATTAATAAAAGAAAAAAACAGTCACACAACAACAATAGAAATAATTACTTGACCTTGTTCAAAAATCAATAAATCCGATTACAAAAAATCATTTCGAAATAAAATTTGTTGCGTGCGGTAGTAGTAACCTTGACTTTTTTAATACAGGGTGGCATTAGACTAACTATATGAATAAAACTCGAGTTGAATCTCTTTATTGAACTTCATCTACGAATTCATACATGAATTGGTAATTTGCAATATTTTCTATTCTGTATTTTATAAATAACACTATTTTCTGAATTTTCCTTCTAAAACAGGTTTTCTACACTTTGTAGTTTGTATTAATTATCTCGTAAATGACATCCATTCTTCTGTAGATTCAATTGTAACTTGTAGATCTGTTCTCACATCTGTAGATTCAAAATTTTGTATATTTTACATACATTACCTGCAAGTTGGGAGCATTCTGTATTCTGTAAGCTCAACTTTTCATATATGTCTACTTAATTCAATTTTATATGTATATTTTCTGTACTACGTATTACAAAAACTTGTATCTAATTAATTTTCTATACGTATATTTACGTTATACAAATACCATATTTTTTATCTAGCAATCATTGTAAGTAAAGTCATTATGGCACTAATATGAGTGAGCCACTTAAACATTCATTTGTGCACATACTTGTATTTGTACTTGTAACACATAGTAAATACAAACTTATCTTTGATCAAAATCATTTGAAGCGTTTAATTCTTTTAAAAAATATTTACCTTCAACTTAAGACTAAGCTAACATCAATTTTTGTGATCAAAAATCATACGCCATTTTTTGAAATAGAAAAAGTAAAAATTACAGTAAAATGTTCACTTGCAATTTTTTTCTCAAGATATTAACATCCTGTTGTGTGCTGAGTTCAACCAAATTCCTGCTGAAAATTGAAATTCACTTGGGCTAGCCCGTCCGTGATACTTTTCAGTGATTCAGCAATGAAACAATTTTTCTCGGTAGCAACCTTTGTTTTATGACAAACAAGCTCACGATGAGTGAGCATAAGTAATTATTTTCGTATAAATGTATTCTTATTGAGTTCTTGTTTTGCCTTTGAATGTCACGAACAACCTTCAACTTGCACGTTACATCTAAAGCCGAAATTTACGTGACAAGTGTATGAACCAGAATCTCCTTTGAAAGGTGTGAGTTGGATTGTTTTTTTTAAGGTATCGAGACTGTCTTTTCAGTCATTACCTTGAGTTCCAACGCCGTAATAGCGACATTGTAACATGTCGTTCGCAAGTTTGAAAAAAATAAGATTAGATGTATTGTCTGAGTCGAGGACATTCATTGGTTTGCAAGTCACTTTCGATGGGTATACCCATACATGAACACAGTTGATCGACCTATCCGAGAAAATAAAACGCACATTGAAATTAATATCGACACAGACCATTTACCTCACTTTCATTATCATCAACGAAAAAATTATGATAAAAAAAAAATCTGCTTGAAAATGACTTTAGTCTCCTGCTCTCGGGTTGAAACAATTATTTTCCATGCAATTATCTTTGTACCGTAAATGTCAGTTTAAATCTTCAAGTTGCTACGCAAATGTGCAACATTTAATGATAGTGTACGCGTTTCCAGGTATTTGATGTATGTTAATTATGCAAAATTAATAAAGTTATTTCTGTTTAGAACTTTCCGTAGTTGTAACCTTTCATTTTATAATTGAAAACCACAAACAAATCTTGCACAATTTACTGAAAAACCTAAATAAATCGCTTTGGAAAGGCATTTGAAAATTAACATACAGCACGTCCCAAAAACTCAAACCAATACGGTGGCCAGTAGAAAATAAAAAGTCAACTTTAATGAATGAAGGCATTTATTGATGATGTATGTACATAACGTAAAATATGAAGGTGCATACATCTAATCCAATGCAAGAACTAACATAATTTGCAAGATTAAAGTAAAATACTTAACATAAGTATTTTTAAAAATAAACCTAAAAGAACAGAAGTACAAAAAACTAAAACTACACAATGTGAAACATAAATAAATAAGAAATTCCACCCAACCAGTCAAAAATTTCATTGCATGGTGGGTTGGTTTTCCGTATGGACCAGTAAACTTTACGTAGAAAGTTCCCTACCAAAGTTTAATAATGATACATGCGGAAAAAACAAACAACGAAAAGAGTGAAAGCTAAAAAATAAACCATGAAATCGTTGAAGTGTAGAGATCAAAATTATGATTTTTTTGTTATTCTTCAGATACAAATTTACACTCTTTATTTACACTCTCGCACGATTGTCTCTCCGAGACACGCACGTTATCAGTACTCGATGAAAAAAATTTAATTTCAATGTCACGATGTCCATTTAAAGACGTCACAATTTCCGTTGAGACTTCCAAATCGCCCGAACAAGGTACGAGTGTTTTTGAATCGTTCTTTTCCTTTTCTTCATCGAGAGAAACCGAAGACATGGCGTGTATCAAACAATCGTCATCGAAATCGCTGAATCTCGGAAGAAAACTTTCCAATTTTCTCATCGGCGCTGTTAGAAACGGAGAATAACAATTCCTGTCGACGTCCCAAATCTGACCGGAAGGATCACAGTATCGACATTGACAAACAGTCTGATTGCCATTAATATCAACATCGTCTGATTCTTCGACGTCTTCAAACGAGTGATGCAACTGAGGTGTTTCTGACTCGTTGTTGAATTCAAATTTTTGTTGATTTAATGACAATGTTTCAGGAACTAATCCGTAAGTGTGTGGGTCAAAGATGAAAGGAGTATAACTTTGAAGAACACTGACAGGGATTGTATCAATATCGGGACTAGCACTATCTGTTGAAAACCCATCTTGGCCCAAATTCCGGCCTAGAACCGCTGGCTTTCTGTCTTTTTTTCGCCTTTTTCGCGGTTTGATTATCCGAGGAAGACAATTATCCGAATTGGCAGAACCTGAGCTTTCATCACTGGTCACACTGACAGTGTCCACAACACTATTCTGATTCGTCTTCTTCCCATTTTCAAAATTCTTCTTCTGTTTATTCCTTCGTGTAAAATTTTTGGTGAGGATTAAAGGTGCCCCTTGGGTGTGCACCGCTAGTCTGGCTAAAGGATTCTTTTCTTCTTTCGCATCTTCAACTCTTCGATTTCTTTTCTGGTGGTTTGCGAAGGAGATCAAGGGCATGCCACCGGCCCATCTGTCCACCGCGTTGCATCTCTGTATGCGGAATCTCCCGTCGAAATTCACGTAACTTCCGGGATAAACATCAGGAAGTCGGGAGAAAAACACCTCGCGAGAGTTTATATTGACCGTTTTCGGTCGACTTTGCGACGATATTAGACATGCACCGATGTATTTTTCCACTTCCAGAGTGCCCGAAGACGCTGGGCTCATGGCAATGTTGTTTGGCACCAAAAGTGTCACATACCGTCGATGTACACTCGACCGATACCGTACTAATACTAGCACGAATCGGAGCTCCGGAGCTCCGGTGCCGCGACTCTCATCCCACCATAACCACTGCACTAACCTACTTCTGAAACGGGCTGAAACACGAAACAAAGAGAGCGCACTAAGAGATCCACCCACACAACTAGGTCACAAGTTTAAATTGTAGGACGACGGAGAAATGCACCCCGTCAAGAGATCTCCTCGACGAGTACCAACCGATGGCCCCGATTTCTGACCCTATTCGTTAGTGGGTCGACGGCTGGGGTCAGCATCGACACCTTCTAAAGACAAGCACCGGTCGTTTCTCAGACTTATCGGAGATGTGACCGAGTTCTCCCGTAAGAAAAATCGATTTTTCCTTCCCCAAGCCGCCAATCTCGCTAGTTCTAACTCCGTGTGAATTCCACGCAAGTTCGGACTTTCAACAAAAACTTCGATATTAATTGTTCAAAAAGGCACGCCCAATTAAGAATCGCATAATTAGTGCCGCTAGCTAACTCGGAATTACTGTGCTAGTAGACTAGATAAAGTGATTCGTCTGCCGGTGAATCGAGGTTTCCAGTATAACTGCTCTCCCATTGACTTGTTTGTTCACAGCGATCATCTGAAGCGATTTAATGACGGTTGTAAATTATCCATCTCCTCCCAAGAAAAAAAAAAACAACGGATCACATCAGAAGCACCACAAATTTATTCCTCGTTTAATTGTAACCCAGCTTATAAACCTACTTTCACTTGTACCGGACAAATTCGAAAAATAATTTTTCCATTAACCCCAAAACGAGGAAGAGACTTTTTTTAATCTCCACCTGCTCTTTTAATAATAACACCTGCCTTGATCACACCTGAACACCTTGTCTCATGGACGTTATTCTCCTGTACACGCCTTATAGGGAACGTTGCGGTCTTGTTCGCTCTGATATATCTTTCGCGGCAAACGCGTGCTATGCTAAACCATGAGCTAAGCTAAAATTAATAATAGCACGAAGGCTAATTGCAAACTAGGGTGTTCTCCAAGAACGATCAGCAAAAAATAATTAAGAAAAACTAAACAATTTTGTGGATATTTAGATACTTTATTTAATTTTTCTCAACTCATAACCGATAAGCCTTTTTGACAGGGCTCTATATCTTGACTCACCCTGTACAAGATCTGCTGGAAACTATCAATTATAACAGTAAATGACTAGCCGCCAAATCATGACAAAGTATCATCGTTTAGCCTTTTGCAAAATGATTTGCGGCTACTGTACAAGACCGCCAATATTGTTAAAACAACGCTAATGCAATTTACGAGAACGTAAATGATTTACGTGACATAAAACTGAACATGTCCGTTACGTTGCACGACTAATAAACACTCAAATATGTGCAGCGCATTCAGTGGTGTGTGCGTGTTAAAAAAAATAATTAATGCCGCTAGACTCATAACAATTACAGCAAAGTATACATTTTTAATTTAACGGACTTTGGAGGATATCCGTGTTAGCAGGTTATTCTAATACCAAAAGTAAACATCTCACAATTGATAATTCCAAAATACATAAAAAAAAATATTTAACCTACAAAAAAAAACTCGAATAACATATGGTCGATATTCTCGTTACTGAAAATTATCTTCGGCCTATAAAACAATCATTTTTTTCACAGTTCAACTACAACTAGAACCGTAATTCGCCGTTTCCTTAACTGCAGATCTGATAAAAGTAACATTTTTCCAAGAGAAAAACATTGCCGTAAAAATCTGCAACATGTTATTATTGTCTCTAAGAATTGAAATTTAAATACGGAACAATAGGAATGTTTTAACCAGATTCGATCAACAGCACAATTTAAAAGTGTCACAGAAATAGGAGAAAAAGTTGCATTTTCTGTAAAATTCAATCAAGGTGAGATAAAAAGTTGATTGGTAATTCTAGCAAACCTTGAAACAAACCGCTAACCCTGAAAAACTGAAGAATCGCTCATGGTTGTTACACTTAAAATATTCTTCCCAATTCTAATATAAAATGAATGTTACGTTTCCCTTCATTAAACTCCTGAAGGTCGTAAAATTTATCTACCATCGTTCTAACAATAAATAACAGTCCCATTTGGATCTAGTCACGTCTCACAATAATCCTTTCCTTGACAATTATAAGACTGGAAAAAATTTCAAATTGTGAATAACCGTAACAAAGTCACTTTATCTAATTTGAAATCAGACCTTTCTCCATTTAAGACAAAATATCCCTTTTTATTAAAACACACATTGTTATGAAACTTCTTGGATGCAAATAAACATGAAAACATCATAGCTATCTAAGATAAAGAAACTGAAATGTTAAAAACGTGACCCAAGTAAATTATTTCAAGACCTTATAATTTCGCAAGAATTGGTACTTGCATACAATGGATGAAAAATCCCGAGACGGTCTACTTTCAAAAATTACGTTTTAATAGCAGCTTAATAAATCTCAAACAGGTACAATAAATTTTACAATGTCATTGTCAAGGCTACAATTACGAACAAAATTCGCTTAATTTTTTCCTCAAACGAAACTAATTATTAAACTCTGTAACCAATCTCTCAATGCCCAAACTTGGTCGATTTCACCAAAAGTATTCCACGTTTGATAACCTACTTGGTCGATACTTCCTAATCAAACGTGTAGGTGCAAGTTTGGGAGAAAAAAATCTGTGCTAACTCGAAAATAACAATTCCGTAACTCGATTGTTATTAAAAAATGTTAGTCAACTTTAATTAGACACATTAAATAATATAGAACAAATACTCGTAATTACTTTAAACTACCGTTTCGTTGAAGACCCACATACACACGATACAGAACGATTTGGCCCGTTAAGCCACACGCCCTACCTCTATTTTAACAAATATCTACAGTTTCATTATACGAGAAAAAAACTGTCACAACGGGATAAAAATTCGAATTTCTCAAGCACAATTTCAAGGATGTGTTGCCAAATACATATTTTTTTTTTCTATCGGATGATCAAGTAGATTTACTTTCCCATCTCAAAAACACGGTCAAAAAACTTCATGTAATATGGTAGAAAATTTAGTAACGGTTTCGGTACGGTAAAGTCTGCCAATTAAGTTACTCAATAATTATCCAATAAAATTATAGGTGCTCGCGCTGAAACCATATCCTCAAAAACAAAATAATAGACAAACGCGTAATTGCGACTAATCGCATTCGCTTTACTGCACGTAAACTAAACACTAAATACTAAATATAAAGAAAAAAAACAAAGATCTCAAAAGTAGAAAAATATTTTTACTCTCTGGTATGTTTATGTCTTTCAAAAAATTATTAAAAGTGTATCATCAAAAAATGCTATTTGTCATTTCTTATTCCATTTATCCATAACTCCAAAAAATCCAAATCTCTCCAAAATAAAGATTCTAAAAAAATTAACTGAGAAAGTCACAGCTGAGACGAGGAACAACTGATGTAAAAATTATGACACTTCAGGAACCAAATTACCAAATTTTTGTATTTATTTTTTCTTCTTAAAAAGAAAAGAACGGTATAACTTTCTCAAAAAATTGTTACGAGAATTATTATGTAAATTAATGTGATGGTACACTACATAAGAAACCTAAAACCATCTAAAACAATTCTCTATAAGAAACTTTTGTTACTCTATGTGTATTGCTGTTTGTTGCAATATTTCTGAAGACTTTTTACCTTCCCTTATTGGAAATATCTCCGACATTAAAGATACAATAAAGAGACTATTTCATCAAAGCAATTCTCACTCTTGTCGACATTCACCGTACAATATGCAAAACCCTAAATGCCAGTTTCTAGAACGCATAAATTGTGGGAGAAAGGAACAATCGGATACTCTCTGATTCATCTGATCGATTCCGTGTAACAGCAATCGTAAATTTATGCATTTTTTAGAAAAATATTTGAGCGGAATGTCTCTAAACCGTTTCATTTTCTCTTTACATTTTTTCCAATTTCTCTTGCAATTATAATTCACCTACTTGTCGATAATTGGTACGATAGGTTTGAAATTGCGCTTAAAGCAGCTAATTAATATAAAATTCGCATGCGATGTTCATGACTGCGTTCATCATCAGCCGAAGAGAAAGTCACTTAATTTCCCTCCTCCGATGAATTGTAGACAGAAATAAGACATAGCGGCAACCTCGCGAAATGTACAATTTTACTGGTACGTAACGGAAACAAAGAATAATAAAAACTAAGACTGTTATAACGCTTGTTTCGGAGAAAGCTCTCGCACGTTTCATTAACATAAACGATACGACCAGTTATTATTAGCGGCCAATGCAAACTGAACCGTAATTTAAGACAAAAAAAAATTGTAACACAGTACAATTTGTGAGACTTAACGGGTCCTCCATGTGTCAAATCTAACAACCAACTACCGACTCCTAATTATAAGAAAGGAAAATTGCACTATATTTAGATATGTTTCAATTACCATCGTTCCAAGGTAACCTTTCGATGAACTGTGAAAGGAAATCGCTTACGGAAATCACGGATTCCCTCGATTGCATCTCTGAAAATCAATCGATTTTTCTGCATGACCCATGTGACACCAGCAAATAATTAACAAAATAAAAATAGCGACTCGAGTTCATCATCAAACTCCGTTAATTGCAATCGCAAGTTATTAATTCAGAAACCCTCCTAATGTGAAAGGTTAAAAACGTGCTTAGCACCAAAGATAGCATAAACGTCCACCGCCAATTATTTCTTTAAATGTCAACAAAAAACGGTGGTTTTTTCAGCGTACGTGGGCTGTGTTTCATCATTGTTCTATTGTATCATGACATCGAAATTTAATTTTCGTCAATGTGTAAAACCGCAAATGGTGCGATTTTTCTGGTCGGCTCTCACTTTAGTTTTCAAATATGAGTGTAATTGCGATTGTTATGCTACCGAGACCGCAAGAGAAAGCTACATTAAAACGTAATTGTCATGTAAGCGCGGCGCTCATCGTTTGTTTTATTTCGAAAATTTCCCTACCTTGTAAATTGTCTAACATGAAAGTCAAAAGCTTCTGCGTTCCGTTTGGTTCGGCGTATATATTCATGATGTCTTTACTGAGCGGATTTCCTATTAAACCAAGTACCATCAGGTTGAACAGCTTTCCCAATTCGTACGGCAGAATCCTTAATTGGTTGTGACTCAATTGCAGTTCCCTGAAACATCATGATTTCTAACTTACAAAAAGGAATTATTTCCAAATTATGAATTACAAGGGACTTACACTCCAGAATGCTCGAAGGGATTCGCAGGATTCGGAAGGAAGAAGGAAGGATTCATGGCCTTATAAACCAGGTTTTGAAAAGAGAGAACAAAATAAGTTGTCTTTAGCAGGCCCACAACATGGCTATAAAAATTACGTTCAATTATATATTTCTTGATTTTTATTTGGTGCTCAGCTGTATTGTACATTTAAGGGCTTTGCTGAAAATCATCTCAAACCACTGTAATTATTAGATTAGTTACAACCTACATATTTTCAACGCTCCCAAACAAACATTTTAGTAGCACCATGATTCCATATGACCAAAAACAGAAACTACAAGCAACCACGGCAACTATTCTAATAAATATGCAGTGTGCTTAGTTCCTTTCAATTTTTACAATTTCAAATAAATCAATAGAATTTGCAAAGAATATAAATTTAGCTTTGCTACGAAATTTTTTCTTTCGCTAAATAAGGAATCATTCCGAGAATCATAAATCAAAACGCCTTTTCCCACTTGAATATCTTATTAAAGACTTATAAATTATAATTCATAACATGTAATTTATAAATTATATTGGTAAAAAATCATTCATTGTATCTGACGAACTTAAATTCGCAAGCATGGTGCTGTCCTCTCGCGGCTTGTAGTCAATCAACAAACAAAACAAACTGCGTCAAACGTGACCTTATCACCTCAGGTTTCTTCACAAAAGTGAGCTTTTATCTTATTTGATACAATAATGAGTTTAATAGGAGAAAATACAAGCTTCCTATTCAATTCGAGAATTTAATACCCCGCCCTATGAAACTCGCTTAAAGTAAAAAAAAATAAAATCGGGCTATTTATAAGTTGATTAAGCGCTGTGAAGAAATATTTGTTGAATGTGAATTTATTCGAGAATGTTCCTGACTTTAGAGCGTTTTCGTTTATAAAAATGCTAATACGCAAATTGATTTTTATGGTAATGTTTTACATTTTATAAGAAAACAAAACATGAAGGTTTAAGGTTTAAGAATGAATGTGTTAAAAGATGGATAATTCACCTGAGTTGTATAAGTTCTCCTAGTTCAGCTGGCAGCGATCTCAGCTTATTGGATGACAAGTCTAGGTTTCTTAGGTTGACCAGTTGGCAAATATCAGGTGGTAATCTTTGAAGGGAATTATTTTTTAAATAAAGTGCTGTTAGATGGGTCATTTGAAATAGGTTTGAACTTAAATTCCGTATAGTCCCTGTTATCTCCAATTCTGTCCAAAATGACTTTTTACCGGCCGCTTGATCTTCAGCAGACATGTAGGTGTGAGTTCTTCTATTAGAACCATTGTTCTCATACTTGCTGTCCTTAGAATTGCGTGGCATAATATATCCTGCAATTGGAAAACACATTGTACTAAAACGAGCGACGATTCAGCAATTTGAACAGTATTATTGGTTCACTGGAATTTCGCTGAAATGTCATTGTTACTGCCACAATCACTTGTTTACAAATATCATTCACTAGAAGCTAGATCTGATTTTGGGTGAAATAAGGAAATCGCCTTGTGCCGTTTGCTTTTAAACAAAAACGATTTTGGTGAAATGGAAAAGTTCAACAAACTCTTGATGACCCTGTAAACAAGGGAAGCCTGAAGAACTAGATGACTTTACTAACTGCCTGTCATATCCATTGCCTTCTAGATGCTATTCAGAATGAATAATCGTGAAAACTGTTACATCTTTTTCCAATATTTCACGCATTTACCCTATTTTCTAGTATGACGCACGGAATTGTTCTCTAGAAGACATCAACAGGGATAGACAGTCAGCGAGTTTCAGCCATCGAAAAAACGCTACTTTTACAACTCACACTAAAATATCAACCAAATGGTATACTATTTACCTTCATCTACTCCTTAATTAATTATAAATAGCGCAGATATGTACAAATAACTTTTTTGGGATATTCACTTTATACACAACTTCTCCATAAAAAGCCAATTTCAGTGTATGCAACCTTTACAACACCAAACATCCAGAAAATTACCAAGATTGGCTGCACTGACTGTCAAAACTCCTCAGGGTATGCAATCAGCTAAACACGGTGAGTTTAATTTTTTTTGTTTGGCGAAAAGAAACGAAAAATTTTATAATAATAGTTTATTGATCTTATAAACTAAAAGCACAGACTCGACATACTGTTTAAAGAGTGAAATTACAGCAAACAGAATACATAGTTATATAAAATACAATATTTGCTGCCAATTAAATTAAAGTAACACTAAACTAGGAAATAAGTATGGAAACGTTAAACTAAGGTTAATCTACCATTTTCGTACAAAACATTAAAAATGTAAATAGGTAAGATAATAACCTTAGTACTATGTGAAAAAAAACTTAGAAAAACTTTTGTTCCAATGACCTTCCAATTGAGTCTCATCACAATCAGTTAATCATGCTTTAATTCAAGTCAATAACAAAAATCATGTATGTACTTTTTACAATTTATGTGGCGTTAATTCTTCGTGAAATGTACTTTACTGATTTGTGTAACGTGAAAAAAAATAACACAAAAAATGGGCAATTGCACATTAACAATTACATACTTAAAAATGAAAAAAATAAACAGCATGAATGAAAAACATCACAGTTCCCAACAAACAATCACTCATTACTTCATTACACCAAAAATAATCCAATTAAAAAAAGGTAATATTACATTACGGACCAATTTACAACTCTACACATTTTATCGTTTTCCTAAATGTACAACACAATTTGGAATGAAAATGATGTAACGATTCTTTTGATTAAGAGAAAAAAGAATGTGTAGGCACTAAGATATAAGATTTGAAGATCGTCAAAATTAACAAAACAGGCATCAATGATGTGTGGGTACATTATCTTAAATGAGAGGGATAAATATATATTGGCACAGTCTTGAATTAACCATCTTCCTTCGGGGGCGTGAACCAACCTAAATCATAGCCAAATTATTTCTGTTTTGTGAAAATGCATAGTTTGTTACCGTTCTTTTCGTGAATTTGTACAAGTGATTTAAAACTTTGCTGGGCACGCGCAAGGCTGTATTGTCCTTGGGAGCAAACTTTTGGTGTTCCGAATTGGATACGCGCTTTCCCTTTAACTAGAGTGGCTGAGATCTGCATAATTACGGCTTCGACGGTATATGCACTTGACCAGCCTTGTTTCGTTAACAATTCCATGCATATCGCACCTCCTACTAACACGTAACCTCCTAAAAAATAACATCAAAAAATAAAATAGTACGTCCAAAATCACCAAAACTTGCCTGAGATTATGGGATGAACTACCCTTACAAATGGCGGTTCAAACGGATAAGTATCTTTGAAGAGCATGTTGAGTAAAATGGCATCTTTGCCTTCTTTTTCCTTCAACATCTGTAAATCGTGACTTAAGGGACTGTCAGGATCTACGGCCATCAGACGGATATTCCATTCGTACAGTGATTCGTTAACGAGTTCGATCTGGTACATCTTGTTTTTAAATGATTCAGATCTGTATATATCCCTAAGTTCCTTCATAAGACGATCTGTCGCTTGCACTGAGCCTGAGACAGATCCCTTTAAATATTCTTGCCTTTGGTTTTGTCTTAAGCGTTCTAAAGTGGCCAAATGTTCAACACCCATCTCGTCTGCTTTTGGTCGGCTGTCGTCCATCTCCATTGCCAAATCCTCGTCAGCGTCACTGTCCTCTTCTGCGTCACTGTCGGCGATATCGGCCTCGCCGTCGCTGTCGAGGCCCTCATCTTCCATCAGCTCGTCGGCAGCGCTTATCCTGTACAGGAAAAAATAAATAATAGGCAATATGCACAAAACGGAAATCCTTTAATTTTACTAAATATCGACTTCTTTTATTTTACAAACACCATAAGTATTACTTAATAACCTAATTTAAATTCTTTATGAATGTTACAAAAAATCAGAAAAACACATTATTTTAAACAAACTTAATAAAATAAATATTTTAACGAATTGTTTTTACTTTGGGAAACGGTGTTATGTAGTACTATGTAGTAAAAAATACAAACTTTTGTTGTTCCTTCAATGGATTGTATTACTCACGTATTTGTGCCAACTTGTTATTTGATAAATTTTAGTGATTTAAAAATTATTGACATCTAGAAAAAAACATATCAACAAATGAAAAATACATTTATTCTAATGATACACCGTTTGAAAGAAGAGCATGGTGCAAAGTCGCATTAGATAAAACATTTTCTTAATTTTGTCTTTTCTATTAAGTATTTGCTTTCTGTACCAACTTCTAATTTAAAAACATATTACAAATATTAACACAACTTTAAAAACTCACATAAAAATAGGTTTACTACATTTTTACAATTTAGTGTCAATCATTATTTTCACGAAAATGGTAGTAACAAAGTATATGTACAATTATTCCTTTATGATTAGTTTTTTAAGATTGTACCCAAATACATCTACATAAAGACGTTTTTCAAGTTTTAAAAAAAAATAAATAGGTGGTTGTTACGTAGTTTTAATTTTTGGCTAGAACTTTCAACAATGCTAGAATGGCGCAAACTGTTATTAAACTGATAAGAGAATAAAATACAATATTTTTACTATTGACAGAATTTTCTCCTTAAAAAAGTTTAAACAAACTGAGAAATTCTTAGTGAGAAAGGCAGTGTTTAAACATTTCTCTAAGGGATACATTGTGCTACCAATATATTTTTGCTGATCTTTATCTTCTTTTGGCTAATTTAAAGATTTTTAAAATGGATAAAAACATTATTTATTACATATTTCTATGATTATAATTAAAAATAAAATAACATTTCCATTTTCTAACGATTACGTAATTTGGCCCGTTTTATTTAAAAACAGTAAAAAGTGAAACAACGCAGCCATCTTTCGTAATTTAGAAAGTTATCAAGTGCAAGGCTGCGTGCCGAAATTGGACGCATCAACAAAGTGACCTGATATCTATTTGTGTCCTTGGCTGCACCTAAATACAAAAACATAGATAAAAAATAGGTAAACCTACATGTAAACACAATATTTGCTTCAAACATGTTTACATAACAAGCAAAAATGTGTGCCAAAAATCGTAAAAAATGCAAATTTGTGCTCTGAATAAACAACTAGACGTACAATAGTGTGCGATAATGTTTGCCCTTTTATTCTCGTGATAAATCTATTCTGATCTCATGGTAAACAACAATAGTTGTATCAACACTAGATTCATTGACTCTTGAAGACTATCTTAAAAAAGCGAAATTACCGATTTGTTGTTTGTGGGTCTGGAATATGTAGTCTATCTAAGTCGGGGGGCTCAGGGACGGCATGTAAGCGGCATAGTTCCCTAAGAAGTATCGAAACTTGGTGGAGGACGTGGTTGTCTAAGCCTTCCGTGTTACTTAATATCTGCACAGCATTCGTAATACTAGTTTCTTCGGAATCCGCGAACCACACGGGGGGCACAGACGGGTACGTTTCCTGCAAACGACCACAAGTGTCTTTTTACCCGAATGATTTATAAACCAGGGACCTACATATCACTTCAGCTGTTTTTAGCCTACATATGTTAAATGTCAAAAAAAGCCAACAAGGATGGATATAGCCTTTGTTATCGTCGCAGGCTTTAAATTTGAGAGAACAGGGGGGCTGTACACAGCGGGGCTACTCGCGAGGGGCAAGACTTACCGTAATATTCGCGTGGATTTCGTATTTTTTACCGTTTTTCCCTATAAATCTACAACTGAGCTCGTCGACACTCGCGGACACGATCTGAAATCGTTCATGATTTTTCGAAAAGAAGCCCTCTAATGTTCTTATTTCTTGCTTTAAAGTATTTAAACACGCCATAAGGCTCACGAACTGTAAATTTAGGGACCCTAATTACGAGGTGATTTTTTTAAAGAGCACAAATTTAACACCAATGTTTTCTAACTGTTCACTCCCTGGACATACCAAGATGGCTGCTGTCTACTTTTCGGCTGAGAAAAGATCCATTCGGGTAAGTACGCCACGCTTCGGACAAACTCGTGTTCCCAATTTGTATTGAATTAACGGGACCGCTTTTTTTGCTTTCTTTTTCCATTTTTTTTATTTTGGATTTTCTAAATTTGAGTCGAACTGACCCGTTTTTCTGTATGACCAAAAAATTTTCCCAATCAGAAACTTCTGATTCGACTTCTAGATAAGAATCAACAAAATATTGCAATTTTAAGGAAATTGTAATAGTATATTGATGAAAAAAGTTATTTGACTCGAGGTTATTATAAGAAAACTTTCTTTTTAATGAATAAAACTGTATTACATATTACATGCTATTGCAATAAATCTAACACTAGAAAATGGAAGATATATTAACACTTCGTAGTGGGTAACAATAAATGTTTCTAACAGAAATGCTTTATTAGTAAATCTTGTAAAATTAGTATAAATCTCCCTCAAAAAATACAATAAATAAGAAAATAATAGCTGATGTTTCTTATGCAATCTGAAAAACTAATAGAATCTCTTCAATAGTGAATAAATTTAAGTAATAAGATATTTAAATATCTTTCAAATCCATTTACAAGATATTACAAACCATTCCTCTGTCTTCAACAACAAAAAATTATACATATTTCAAACTTGTATTTAATCTAGAGTGTGTCTCCGGATAGGTAAAACGACTCTTGAAAAAAATAAAAAATTCTTGATTTAAATTTTTATTTTTTGGAGTTTAACCTTGCTTACTTAATGGTTAAAGACTAATTTCTAACATATGTATAATTTTAGTTAGCCTAAACCAAATTTTAAAATTAACGGAAATTTTTCATTTTTTTCCAAGGTAGTTGTTTTTTATTAACAGATACGTCAAAAAGTTACTGGCAGACACGGAATTTTGGACAATTTGTCATTTGACTGACATAAAAAGGTAAAACGGGCATTAGGCAACTAACCGCACTTTCGGTTTTTGTAATATTTATCCTGACAGCTAGAGAAAAAATGACAACAAAACAAAATAATTTATAAAAACATGTATTGCTGGAATTATGGTTTCGGAAAATCGACGCCAAAAATAAATTTCAACTAAAACTTTCAAATTTTATTTTCAAACATCAATCATAATGACAACAATAAAGAGTGGAGTACATTGACATTTTTTGAACTGATCTCCAAAGTTTCGTGTCCGCCACTGTAGTAATAATCTAAATGTAATTTTTTTATTCGGAGTAAAAGAACTGTTAAAAATAGAATGTTTTCATTTGTGAAATAATAAACATAATTGACCGATAATTTTGAAATTTGGTAGGTATAAAAGCCTCGATATTGATTCTAAACAACTTTTCTTAATAACTTTTGGTTGGATTTGCTACACAAAAGGCACTTTACGCTACAGAAAAATACCTAGTTTTTTTGAAGGTGCCTAATTTTTCAAAACTAAAATTATGTTAGAAATTCGTTTTTAACCAAGTAGGGCTGAACCCCATAATATGAAAATTTAAATTGACAATTTTTTATCTTTTACAAAAGTCGTTTCGAAATATGCACAATAAAACATTTTTTTAAGATTTGTATTTTAGCACATCTTATTAGTCTTTTTAAATTTTTTTAGTTTGCAAAGTTTGATGTAGTTTCTTGAACCTGATTGACAAAATAAACACTTGCAATTCCAAGTACCTAAGCAATGCATTTTGTATTAAAATTTAAACTGCAAACTCAACATCTCCCACATTTTAATTTCTTGTAAATCCTCCACATTATAGATTCAACTGGATATTTAGATAGGAATAACCACCCAAACAAGAAAATTGTGTTAGATTAACAGTTATCCACCTATGAGACATTCTTCTGTTATTCCAGAAGAAGCCTAAAATGTACAATTTTGCCTTTTTGTTCGATTTTCAAGTGGCGGGGGAAATTGCCAAGTTGTATAAGAAGAAGTCTTGACCGTGACTTTGAAACAAATTCGCGAATTGTGAGGAGTGAAGAAATTAATAGAAAGGGTAGACAGAAAAAATGAGGGCAATTTTTACAAGTGTTGTGTCATTTTTTATTCTCACAGGCAGCAAAAATGCAGTTCTTTCAAGTTGTAAGTAAATATTTTTTACCCCCATTTACCAAATTTTTTTTTTTAATTTTTTATAATACAACAATTTGAATACAGCTAAAAGACTAATTACACACCTCTGTAGTAAATATTATTAAAAAATATCTAATGTTTTGTAGGGTTCTTTACCTAGATAAAAATGATTCATCCATAAGTTCTTCACTTATTACTTCATTGAACATAAATTGTATAGTAATTTGTATTAGCTTACCTGAGATATTTTTAAACAAAAAAGATCTTTTTTATTGTTACCTTCCACAATTCACAACCGCAAAATCTGATTTCAGAAATAAATTACAGATTCCAAAACCGGATCAAAATAATCTCAAATAAGCTTCGCTTATAGCGACTGCCATTTATTTTTATTTATACTTCCTTAATCTAAAATGTCTACACAATCTAATTTAAGTTAATTAAAATGATTTTCTTTCACTAATGAGGACGTACAGGATGCGAACCCGATAAGAAACCACCCTGCAATCTAATGAAGTAATTGGTACTAAATCATTTTTACTGAAACCAGATGAGATTTCTGTTGGTGCAATTAGCATAAATTTTCAAAACCGAAGCGGCGAGATAGATACGTGGGCGGTTTTCAGTCGGCTCCAGTTAAGATAGCATGAGTAAAATACAACCTACTTGAAGCAACCTAAATGGTAAAGAGTCCTAAAACGGTCGTCCAAAGCAATAAAAATTAAAAAAACATTTGCGAACATATATGCAATTACCAACCCACCAAGAGCCCGACGAGTTCAACAACTCCAAATATTTATTTATAGATCAATAATAATAAATCCATTGTGATCAATTTAATTAAAAATGAGACAAAAACTAGAACTATTTAAAAATTTCCAACTTCTGAATTAATTATTATAACTCGTCCCTGCTACCGCACCTCTGCAGTAAATTGTCCCATATCGTCCATCTGTACCAAAACAGGATTCTATCTCAAACGTGCTTTATTTTAATTGTTATTCTTCCCACAAATGCAGCGATTAAACCGCGACAAAACGTCCAACAATTCCAAATAGCGGTAGTCTTGCCTCCTGGACAAAATCTCACCCAAGGGGGCCAAACACCGAGTCCTGCCAACCCCGGATTCGTCTGGGTGCAAGTTCCAGTCACTCCTCCAAATCAACCGGCGATAATTCAACCCCCATCACCAGTAATTCCTCCAATAAATCAACCCCCGTTACCGGCAATTCCTCCAAACAATCAACCGATTCCAGACGATTTATCAAAAAAATGCCAAAAATCCCGGGGGCAGTTTCCAAGCAATTCCTGCAATAAATACATCAATTGTTGGGACGGGGTAGCTGTCGAACAATTTTGTCCCGAAGGACTCCTTTTTAGTCCTCGAGGATATTGCGATTATCCCGAAAACGTTAATTGTGGGGGCAGGCCGATTGAAGGTAGGTGTTCTTTATTATTAGTGGTTTAAACCTAACTGTAGAACTTGTAGGAATGCCTCCTTCAAGTGCGACTCCGGGTCAAGCCACAACTGTAGCTCCACCAACATTAATTGTGACTCTACCTACAAGTATTAAGCCCATGTTTAATATTTTTTTGCTTAATAAATATTTGTAGTTGACCCTAATTTAAGAAAAAAGTGTCTGAAACCAAGAGGACAATTCCGAAGTGACACTTGCAATAAATTTGTTAATTGTTGGGATGACGTTGTGATTGAGCAAGAGTGTCCTAAGGGACTTCTTTTCTCAAACAACGGATATTGCGATTATCCCAATAACGTTAACTGTGGGAGTACCACAAATCCAGAAATTAGAAATGATATAAAAAGTGAATGTCCTCTCGAATTTGGGACTTTCAGAGACAGACAAAATTGCAGCAATTATTTTACTTGTATAGGAGGGAAAATTGTGGCTAATTACACTTGTCCCAGCGGTTTTAATTTTAATGATGTAAGTGTTTAATTTCAATCGTACTTTTAAATATTTTTTTTGCTAGAATATAGGAGTGTGTGACTATGAGGACCGAGTGGACTGCTCAAAAGAACCACTAATTTTTAGCCCCAAAGCTAACTTTCTGTCAAATATTCCCAAAGGTAAGTTTTACTAAAGCCTCAACAATGATTTTAATTGTTTTTCTCAGATTTTATGAGCCAAATTGAGAATTGTAAACCTGGTTCAGTGTTTGCACTCAACCCACAATGCACTGCTGCGTGCTTATGTCACGATGGTCTATCTGAAGTGGTTCAATGTCCAGTGGGCCTCGCCTACGATTCGAAGACTGATAAGTGTTTGCTTCCACATTTAGCAAAATGGTATTTCTTCAACTTGGACAAACTTGTTGTATTGACAATTCTTTTTCAGCTAATTTATTTATTTTTCTTGGTTGTGGGTCCGACAGACGGGATGGGACAGGTTGGGGTACTTTTTAAATAAATAGAAATAAAAATTATACTCGATATTTGTTTAAACTAATTTATACCTGTTTATGAAATATGCAAATACCGAAAAACATTTTATTTACGTAAGGAAAGTCTAATCACATTCTCCAACTTATCGCATTTATTCTTAACACAAAGACTTACAAATTCAAATTTCTATTCACGCTTATGTCACTTAATTAAGTACAAAGCCATTAATTTAATATTCGTTCGTACTATTATCTAATAGGTGCCTTTAATATTTTGTTTAACCGGCTTAAATACGTTATTATTTTGTTGTGTAGTAAATATTGAGTGAAAATGCATTTATAAAAGCTTACTATAAATGTCAATGCATTAGCACATTGTGCATAATACGAGATATGCAATGAAATAATATTCGTGTCTTAGCCTTAAAACAGACATTTTCTTCAAGAACTAACAAGCAACCTCGTTCAAATTTTAATTAAAGGTCACAATTACTTGAAATCGTCTGCTTGGCAAAACTTGATTTATCACTAAAATAACACATTTCAATAAAAAAAGAGAAAATATTTGTTCAGTCAAGGTTGTTGCTGGATGCTAATCTAATTAATATTCAATCTTTTATTCTGTGTCTTTAGAAACACGTATTAATTGACCTTCCTGTTAAAATTATCTTTTTTATTTCTTTCGAACCGGAAGCACGAAACAAGTGATTTCCAATAATGAACAATAGAAATATTCCTTGTCGATAAGGGAAATTGTTTAAACGTTAACTTTGACACACGAACTGGAACTAACGACCACAAAGTCACCTTGATATCTTGTGTCTCTGCAAAATCAATTTTCATCAAGGTTTAAAATGGAGATGAAGTTGAGACACACCTAACTCATTTACATTTTGCAGAACAAAGTCGAATTTTTGCAAAAAATTATGCTGAGTTTGAAATCAGTAAATTTATCATCGATTCTTATTTTTAACATAATTTTGGTGGATGCGCCGGAATAATTGTAAAATTATTTTGTTCACGAATACCTACACATGTGAGTTCTGAAAATAAAAAATTCGCTAATTTTTGAAGATTGCTTCAAATAATTTACATTTTAATTCCTTCGGTCGCCAGTTAATAAAAAATGAGATATTTTCTTTTTGGTTTAGATGAACCACTCTGTATGATAATTCATTTGTCTAGCATAATTTTTCAATAGAAAAATTTTAAAATACGGTGAAAGTAGCCAAATATTTAATTTCTTATTATTTTAGTAAAAAACAAGTTTTCACTAGACGACCTTCATAAGTGGTCGGATATTTGAGTTCATGACATTTTGAAAATATTTCACGCTACACTTACAATATTGAAGTCATCAAATTTGGCAACTATCATAAAAACTACATTAAGAAGTTTCACAAATTTTTATTTTTAAATGCTTATGAACCAAGATGAACTGATGAGGTTTGTGCTACTTAAATATAAACAACATCAAACTGATCGGCAATTTATTATATAATGTGTCTTATTCTCGATGATGTCCATAGTGAAAGTACTTGAACGTTATTCAAAATAATTTAAGTAACACTTGTTTATCAAAGAATAATAGGCTAGTTTGTCGCTTATCAAAGTTCAGCAAAGTTTCCAAACTTATGAAATTGCAAATGAAGGTTAAAATGTAGTGCAAAACTAGAAAGTGCTTCCAAGTTCACTTCTTCATTAATGGTGTGGAAATAATGTCCGAAAAATGAAATTAAGCAATTAATTAGTGTTTTTCGGTCGAATTCTTGTTTTTCTAATTGGAAGTAAATGAAAGAAAGCACATTTGATGCACCTGCAAGGCGAACAAGTCGTTTTGGCATTTGGTGAAATGTCTCATCCAAGGTTCTGATGCCCGTGTGCCCGACCAACCTGTACATCTCCATATACAAGGATAACAACTTTTCATTTCAGCTCTAATTACAAAACGCGGCGTTTCTCTTTGAGAAAACTGCGAGAATTAGGGGCCAAAAAAGCCATTTCCAGATGAGAAGCGAATCGAGAACGGAAAAATGCGACCCACTCGACCGTTGAAATTAGCACGCATATGATGAATACTCGTAATTTCTAATTATTGTTTATATGAGAGCAGACTTGGACTAATTTATTGAACAATGAAACAGGGGGCTTAACTGTAACCCGAAATTTGCATTACTGTTACTCTGATCGCCGTTACTTTACGAGAAGACATTCGGCCGGAAGTCACGGATATCCTTCGATTCTCAAGACAATATTTAATCAGAAATTCCAGCACGACACCGGTAAAAATTCCTTTTGAACCCGACCAAAAAATAAATCAAGTTTCAACTAACCCTGAAGCCTTTTATTATTTCCATAAATACACGGAAAGATCAAAATGTTGGAGGTGAAGGTAAAGATGCAATTCTGCAATTTACCAACTCAAAAATCCCGACTAAATGATTAGTTGTTACTCTATAATTTGAGTCAAGGTTTGATGATCACTTACCTCATTCCTTATCACAACCTAATTTGTGAAATTACTGACTTTCTTCACGGAATCAGGAAACTCCTCCAGGTTTCCATCAAATTTCTAGATTTTTTCTCACAAATCTAACTCATTTGGTTCTATAGTCAGGACTTACAGTTAATGTCTGCCTACAAATGCACTATCAGCTGCATTAGCTGCTTGCATACTAATAATTTACGTAATAATTATGCAAGAATTCTTGGAACACCAGTGGAAGGTACTTATAATGGCCTAATAAATATTTTCAACGAACTTAGAAGAAAATGTCTCATATCCACTTTTCCATCAGTTTAAGCTTCCGGGAAAACTCGCTAAACAGTAAACATAACTGCTAATGAATAATTATTAACTAACTGTTTCATAATCTTATTTACATTTATTTTAAATCGAGTTAAGTAAGAAATACGTATTGTTAAAAACAAAAAATAAATATTTGACCGGTGCACCACAGGCGTGGCACTTTTCAATTCAAGACTTTATAGAGTTATAAATCACAAATTGTGATTTATGATGTTTGTTTTATTGCACAAGCTGTGATGCCCACCACTTATTTTTGCAATCTCTGTGGGTCTTAAAATAAGCTTCCCATAATTTTGAAAAATATTTACTTTCACTTGAGTTTCTTTAATAAAATATCGAACAATATGTGTTTCACTCACGACGACATGTAATTCGTGATTAATGATAAAACAACCCTTGCTAAAATTGAAAAAAACGGCACATTCCTCGTTCATTACAAATCCATGGGCGTTTGTAGAATTATACAGTACGTAGTGGTTGCTTGGGCGTGTATAGTGAAAGTGAATTAACAGGAATATATTAAAATATTTAGCGGACAGTGAGTCTGATGGGCACAGTTGGACCTTGAGTGCAAAATATCCCGTCTCGAGGGACAATTTATCAGCTTTCCACGTCGAAATCAAAATTACTACATTGTAAATTTTGGTCATTACGTGACACGTGTGATGTAAGAAAATAGTGACAAAATATGTACCACGTACGTGAGAAGAAAGTTCGATTTTGAAAAATTGAACACGCCCTAACTTTCAATCAGATTTTCCCAAATGCAGCCTAGGTCTGTGTCAAGTTTGTTATTGAAAAGCTATTTAAAATTAAGTGCTCTCGTTTCTCAATCCAACCTTAAACTATGTAAATCGTTACGCATAGTAAATCACTATTACTTTGGGGGATTCTTAACACAGGAATTTGTGATATTTGAAGGTGAACAGCTATCAAAACCGTCAAAAATCGTAAATAAACCAAAAATTGTGAAATAAATGCGATTAGATAAGTCTTGTTCAATATGTATTGTGATCACTGGGAGTGAAAGTCACATATTTGCCCTCTGCACAATACTTTGACACTTTCTCTGTTACGTCCAGAGATCCACCTGTATCCAATTTTGTGCCCGATTTTGTTTAATTATTTATAAATGCCCCACTTTATAATTACAAAATAAACGTGATCCATTTCGCAAACTTTCTGTTTATAAATTTTCATTCTCATCCTAGATTTAAGACCAATTAGAGTCATTGTTTCCACCTGTTGTATCAAAGGGCTGGTAGAGAATGACCATAGAATGTCGGAATCGGATCAAGGTGGTCTACTGGGTGTGGTGTCGCATTTATGATCTTTCCTTACTCATACAAGGAAATTAAGCATAAGCATCCATTTAAGAATATTTCATCAGAACGACTTGATCTGTTTCATGGTAAATAAGAATATTTTAGTCATCGCTTGATTAGTGATCGACGGAAGTCGCCACAATTGTGCTATAAATTAGTTTTTTCAAACAATAAGTGATTGATTAAAAGCAATGTCGATTGGAAGAAGGCTTGGTCCGTACTTGATCTACTTCCCTTGTACGCCATCGGGTCCCTAAATTGACAATTTTTCAATGACTTCATTAACGTTCAAATTAATTAGGAGAGAGGCGGGCCCGGAAACCAAGTCGTGCGTGGATTGCTCGGAAGTTGCGACAAATTTTAAAAATAAACATTTCAAATGCGTACAAATTTAATTTACACTAATAAGAAATAACAAAATCAGAAAGACAAAAGTTACTTTCTCTTCAAACATTTAATAATGTTCAATAAAATAAAAAAGCAAAATATCGAAATATGTAATAAAAAAATAAAAAATATTTTGTTTTCTTTTAGAAATATACCAAAATAAATATCTTACATTTTTCCTCGAAGATTTAAAACAAATTATTAATGTTTAATGGTTTTTAGGAGTAGGTATATTTCAAATTCTGAAGACATCATGTAATAAGATTTTACGAGTATCAGTGCCTATGAAGATATAAAACCCGTTCACTTTTTTGAAGAGAATTTAATTTTAGTTGTAAACAATAACAATGAAATATTATACAGAATAATTTCTATCACCATTTTATGGTGTATAACAATGGGACCGCAATCATCCCTAAGCTTAATGATTTATGAGTTAATCATAAAATGGTTGTTGTTGGAATTATTCACAACAACATTTAAATTCTATTAGAAAAGTGAATGGACTTTATGAAGCTAATTAATCATCG